GGGGTGCTGCTGGGGCTGCTGGAGTTGGTCCTGCTGGAGGTACTGCTGGAGCTGCTGGCGGTACTGGAGCTGACGGTATGCTGGAGCTGGAGCTGCTGGAGCTGGAGCTGCTGGGGGTGTTGGCGCTGGAGGTGCTGCTGGCGCTGGTGCGTCTGAGGGTGCTGGAGTTGGCGCTGTTCGAGCTGGAGGTGCTGCTGGCGTTGGTGCTGCCGCTGGGGGTACTGGTGCTGTCCCTGCTGGTCCTGGAGGCGCTGCGCGGCCGCGGCCGTACTTCGTTCCGCTCCTTGAGCAGGTTCTTGGTCTCCCGCCCTCTACTGGTCCTGCTCCTCCCTTAGAGTGTCCACAGCCCGTCCAGTCGCGGTCACAGTTACAGCCCGCCTCCCCCCTGCCTGCTCCTTCTCCCTACACTGGTCCTACTGGAGGTCTTGCTGAGCGTCGTGAGCCTGCGTCTCGTCCTGCGTCGCCTGTTCGTGCTGCTCGCACTAGTAGTCGTGCTCCGCGTCCGCGTCCTCCTGCGGTCCCAGGCACACACTGGATGGCACTGCGTCCTTCCACTGCTCCTCTTCGTGTCCCGTCGCCGTCTCCTCCAGAGACCTCTCTTCCTGTCCTTGCTGACCCGGAGTCTGACTCTCATCGTGCTGCCAGTCCTACTGTCACGCGTCTCCTGGCTACTGTTGTCACTGACCCTTCCTTTGAGTCCACTGCTGCATCTGCCTTAGTTGCTGAGCTTGTCGACTTTGCTGCTCGCTGTCGTCTAGACTACGCTGCTAGTCTTGTTGCTGAGTCTGAGTCTGTCTGTCCTCCGTCCGTCGGGGGTGAGTGTGCTCTTAGCACGAACGTCCTTGATGACAGGCAGGAGGAGTTCCATTGTTTTGCTGCTGCTTTGCCTCATCTCGTGTCCACACTGATTGCCCTTGAGGGAGACCCGGATGCACCAGACATCCCGACTCTTCGATCGTACGCTGAGGCGATCGAGGGTCCCTACTCCTCACAGTGGCAGTCAGCCATGGACGCAGAGATGGCTTCCTGGAAGTCCACAGGCACCTACGTCGACGAGGTTCCCCCACCTGGGGCGAACATCGTCAGTGGCATGTGGATTTTCAGGGTGAAGCGGCCGCCGGGTTCTCCGCCTATCTTCAAGGCGCGTTACGTGGCTCGAGGCTTCAATCAGCGGCAGGGAGTTGACTACTTTCAGACCTTCTCTCCCACCCCGAAGATGACCACTCTTCGGGTGCTACTGCACATAGCCGCTCAGCGCGACTACGAGCTTCACTCTCTTGACTTCAGCACAGCTTTCCTGCAGGGCAGCCTGCACGAGGAGATCTGGCTGCGCCGCCCACCTGGCTTCACTGGGTAGTTTCCCCCTGGTACCCAGTGGAGCCTCCGGCGGCCAGTCTACGGTCTCCGCCAGGCGCCCCGTGAGTGGCACGACACACTGAGGACTACACTTGCGGCTCTTGGGTTTGCTCCTTCTACTGCCGACCCGTCGCTGTTTCTGCGCACCGACACCTCTTTGCCGCCGTTCTACATCCTCGTGTACGTCGACGACTTGGTCTTTGCCACTGCTGACACTGCTGGACTCGCCCACGTGAAGTCCGAGCTGCAGAAGAGACACACGTGCACAGACCTGGGTGAACTGCACCGCTACCTTGGCTTGCAGATCACCCAGGACAGAGCACAGCGCACCATTACCCTGACTCAGTCACACATGGTGCAGCAGGTCCTTCAGCGCTTCGACTTCACGTACTCCTCGCCTCAGGCCACTCCTCTGTCTACTCGCCACTCGCTCTCAGCTCTGCCTTCGGATGAGTCCGTAGAGCCGAGTGGCCCGTACCCAGAGCTTGTTGGCTGCCTCATGTACCTGATGACCTGCACACGACCTGACCTTGCATACCCTCTTTGCATCTTGGCACGCTATGTTGCTCCTGGGAGACACCGACCAGAGCATATGGCTGCAGCGAAGAGGGTGTTGCGCTACTTGTGCAGTACGTCGGGCATGGGGCTAGTGCTTGGAGGGCGACGTCGAGTGGTCCTCACAGGTCACGCAGACGCTTCTTGGGCTGACGACCAGGCTACGCAGCGGTCGTCACAGGGTTACACCTTCAGCCTTGGCTCCGGCTCTGTTTTGTGGCGGTCTACCCGCTCGTCTTCTGTTCTCGGCTCTAGCTGTGAGGCTGAGATCTACGCGGGGGCCATGGCTGCACAGGAGCTACGCTGGCTCACCTACCTGCTGACTGACCTAGGAGAGCAGCCTCGTTCTCCTCCAGTTCTGTACGTAGACAACAAGGCCATGCTGGCCTTGTGTCGGGAGCACAGACTGGAGCACAGAACGAAGCACATTGCTCTTCGCTACTTCCTTGCTCGTGAGCTGCAGCAGCGTGGTCAGCTGCGCCTTGCTTACGTGGCCTCTGAGGCCAACACTGCTGATATCTTTACCAAGGCACTTCCGCCTTGTGATCATCAGCGCTTCTGTACGATGCTAGGTCTTGTGCCTACTTGGCCACACTTGCTCACTTCTTGACCTTCCTTGTACTGTGATCTTTCTATACCTGCACTTGCTTGTTTACCTTTATATATGATCTTGCATGTGAACTGGCCTTCTTGTCAAACACTATATATGTGTTATTGCTGTGTAGGCTATAGTGGGTTAGCCTTTAGGGGGTACACAACTCTATGGTTTCATACTTGTACTCCAATGTTGTGTAGTTCAACCACTTCTTGATTCTGACATGGTATTAAGAGCTTAGGTTCTAGACCTAAGGGCCCACCGTTCCGCTAGAGGTGCCCTCGTGCGCCCTTTTTTTTAGCGCCCTCGTGCGCCTTTCCCCTAGTGCGCCCACGTGCGCTCTCCTCTCACGCTGCCCGTGTGCAGCCCGCTAGCAGCCCGAGCGCGGCACCGCCGTTTTAGCGCGTGTAGGAAAACCGCCGCCTAGGGCGGCCCGATTTTTGTCACGAGCCCCAGCAAGCCGTCGCCCGTAGGCCCCTGCTAGCCCCTAGGCCGACGCGCGACCCACAGCAGCCCGCCCGCAGGTCGCAGCCAGTGCGCCGCGACGATCGCGCGTCGGCTGCTGCAGCGCGCGACCCACAGCCGCCGGTAGAACGCAGCCGCGGCCCGCGCGCAGCTGCACCCTAGGCGCCCCCGCGCACCCAGCCTAGGCCCGCCGTCGCGCCGCCCTACCTGCCCGACCCGCGTCGCCCGAGTCGCGCCGCCCGAGTCGCGCCGCCTTACAGCAACTCCAAGGTTTTGCTGCTGAACAAGTTCTTGTTGTGTGAGTAAGACGGTGTGTTAGCATTTGCGTGTTAGGTTAATGTTGCAGCTCCTAACTTGTTCTTGGATGGATAGGTTTATTTGTGGGATTGGTTTTCTATTTTAAGTGTCTCGGATTGTGGGTTTAATTGACGTTGCTGTGACCGTTTGCAATAAATCTCGCCGTCGATCAGTGTGAATGTTGGTGTATTACTGTTGGGCCATATTGTGCAAACACGTGTTGTGTCAGTCGAAAGGGGACCTGTTTGTGCGTATGCGGTAATATCGCAAAAGGATGGTTATAACGGTGCAAGGATTGGTTTGTTCGTTTGGTTCTATCAGAGCGGTTTTCGCGTGCAATAGTGGTATGCAATTCTATTGTCATTGGCGTGGCCGCAAATTATGGTCATTGTTTGCGGTTTCGTGTGTATGGGTAAACTGGAACATTTGAGTCTGCTCCGATCTTGTGGTTGGTCAATATGTGTGTGGGTGGTCTGCTGCACGCTCGGGTTGACCAATTGTAGAGCGACAAGTCCCTTGGTAGGTTTGCAGGTGTGGTGTGCGTTTGTTATAGAGGAAGGTCAGTTCGTGTGGTTGCAGAGGGTGTTTGTGTAGTTATGGTGTTGGATTCAGTGGTCTGTGATACGTGCGTTCGTTTCGATTGCGTTTCCGTGGATATGAGTTTGACTGTGTTTTAACCGGCCAATGGTTGCGCAACATCTGGAGTGACCAAGTTCATTTCTTATCGGCGTTGGGTTGCGGTTTTGGGTACGGTACTGGTGTAGTGCAGTTCAGGTCAGCCGTGCAGTTTCACATAAGAAGAGGGATGTACTCTATAGTGCATATAGGTTCTGCATTTTCTCGGCCTGGTTGACACAGTTGCAACGTCAAACCTGTAATTCAGGATGGCTAGTATCAAGGGCCTTATCCAAGAGATGAAGGCGCGACCTGATGACGTGTTTTGGTTTGTCGAGTTACACTTCCTTCCTTCGCGGCTGCCGAAGTGGTCACTTCAGGACTATCCCCGTAGTCTCATTTGCGGAGAGCGCGTCATCACAGTTGGCATCCTCTTCAACGCGGCCGGCAACTGCACTGCGTTGCCTCACGTCGTACTCCGGCCGGATGAGCGCCCAGAAAACACCGGGAGCAGTTCGGTGATCTCAAGGTGGTCGTGCGCTACACGAAGAGCGGAAGACTTACCCCCGAGGTACGTTAGAGCGGTTGTATTGAAAATCGCGTTGTTGTATCCTGGTCTCGCTTTGTATGGTTTATGCCAGTGAGGGATTCTAATTGACTCCAGTTCTACGTATTGTGTTTGGGTTCAGATTTTCACGGAGTACATGGACAAGATTAACGACGACCACTTCAGCAAAGACAAGAGGGTTGTCGTCCTGGTGTGCAGCGATGGGCATCGCATCATCGTGCCCGTGCCCCCGCCGACTGTGGAGCACGGCTTTCCGGTGGAGCACCTCCATTGTATGCGGTTTGTGAACGTGTCTGGTGCCGTTCCCGCTATGTGCATGCCTCACATGAACGGAGTCGTTGAGCGTTCAAAGCGCAGTACCGTGTTTTTCTTATGCGAAGGGCTGTGCGCAAACCCGAGTGTCAGCACAGGTATTCGGCTCCGCGTGCGGTGGTGGATAACCACGACATGCTACGCTGGATTGGAGAGGCATGGCAGCATGTTTCAAGTGCAACCATGCAGCGAAGCTGGTGGCGTGCTGGTTGTGTTTTGGATACGTGGACTCCCAGTATGGGACACCTGCACGGCACGTTTGCGGCGGGGATGTACGAGCCGTTGGTGTCGACCACAGTTGATTTGCAGGTGTTGATCGAGGACTTCAAGATCGAGCTCGGTACTTTTATGACCGCATGTGAATATTTGGATTGCGACGAGACCCTGTTAGAGGAAGCGGGTATCGAGTTTGAGCTAGTTTCCAGCGGCTCTAGTGGAGGTGGAGGGGAAATGTGCATACCTGAAGGCCCACTAATGCGCGATCCCCGTAGCAAGAGGCCCGTGATACGTTCTGTGACTCATGCGTACACATGCCACGCCGATGCGCACGGCATACCCCCTGCGGCTGTGCCTTCAGAAGTTGGGGCGCTGAACCAAGAGGTGATAAGCCATTTACGCAGGACCCCGTTGAAGCGATCGCGCACCATAGTGACTCCTGACGAGGGGTAGTCACTGGTTTAAAATGATATGTACCTGGATGTTTTCCGCGATAGGCATTGTTGGGCGTTTTGTTGGCGGAATGTGTGCTCTATTGTTAGCCAAGTGTAATTGTTGGTCATCTACTGCTGCTTGTTATGTTGGTGGGTGGTTTGAGATTTCGTAGGGGTGGTTTCTGTAGTGCATTTTCAGTTGATGGTCTATGGTGTGTGGTATCCACGGGGTATGCGCTTGTGGGTGTGCGTTGTTTGTTTTCCGATTGTTGTACTACAATATTGCAAATTTGGAAGTTGTTGAAACTGTGGACACTATGAGCGTTGCGAATTCTTGTGTTTGGTGTCCGAGTCCGTTTTTGTAGAGGAACGTTGGCGTTTTCTGCTGTGTATGCCGTTCTCGTTGAAACGAATATTACAATGTCGTGTATGCGGTTCGGGGCTAACGCCGAGGCGCATGTTTCATCGAGGAACAGTTGGATGCTGCACGACCTTGGGCGGTGTGTCAAAATTAGCAGTCAGAAACAAGAATGAAGAAAGGAGGGTTTGCACTGGCAGTTGTTGGCATACATATAGGAAACCCTAATTGGGTTGTACTCGCTATAGAGTACCCCACTGCATGCTAGACAATAATAACATTCTGACACACCCCCATAGTCAAAGTGGGGTATAATCAGCACAGCAAACAGTCATAGAGCAAGTCACAAGGGCAAGCAAAGCTAGAGGCATTCACAACGGGCACGTGAGGAGGAGGAGGCTGGACTGTGAGAGGAGAGGAGATGGGAGGCGATGGCTGAAGCTGCAGACACACGGGCAACAGGAGCGGCTGGCACAGTGGCTACCGTGACAGCGCCTCGGACTACAGGGAGTAACTGGCTCTGCGGCGCGGCAGAAGCAACGGACCCACGGGCGACAGGCGCAGCAGGCTCTCTGGGCTACCGAGAGCAAGACAGGCTCCGGACTACTGGCGCTGCAGGCGACACGACGGCAGCCTCCACGCAACTTCCCCCAACTGTCCCACCCCCCTTTCACACACCCCTTGCTGTACCCCTAGCTCCACTCCCACGTCACCCCCCCAGCCATGGCAATCAGGCAATGCAGCGGCCCTCGCGCCTCTCGCTCTTCTCTCCAAACCATTGCGATTTTACCTCTAAGGAGTCGTTGCGCGCCAGGGTTGAGTCACGGCCGCCTGCTGCTAGCACCTGAATGCCCGCTGATGTCTACTATAAGCACCTACCCCCCTCTTCTCCCCCCTCCGCCGCCATCTCTCCCCCGGCCCCTCCAACATCCCTTACCTTCCCCAAAACCCCAACCCTCCCCCCCCCTCCTCTTCCCCCTTCCCCCGCCACCCTCCATCCCCTTCCCCCGCAGCCCCCCCCAAGGCGGAGCTATACATCATGGAGCTGCGCACGGGGCTCCCCCTGGCGACGTACCGCGGGCAGATCCCCGGATACCCCGCCACCGCGCCCAGGGACGAGGGGCCCGACCTCGACAGCGCCTTCCCCGACGACCCCCCCGAGGCGGAGCTTCCGCCCGCACCTGACGGGCTCGTCGGGGGAAGCGCGGAGGACTTGTGGGGGTGGCCGCCCGTTAATGGGACGGATGTTGGGGTAGGCACAGGGGAGGCGGCAGAGACAGGGACAGGGACAGGGGCCGGGGCAGGTGTGGTTGCGAGCACGGGCATGACTGGTAACAGCAGCAGCGCCGCTGGGGTACCAGGGACGGTGGGGAGTGCGGCCGCAGGTTCAACAGAATCATCGGCCGAAACAGACTCATCAGGAGGAAATGGACGGTTGCTTGTCTCCTCCTCCTCGTCCTCCTCCCCTCGGCCGTCATCTCAACCGTCCGCCTCAACGGCACTGAACTCCCACAGCTTGAAACGACCCCGGTTGAACCTGAAGGCGGCGCACGTGCAGGCGTACAGGCAGATGCTGCAGCGGCAGCAGCGGCAGGTGGCTTCACACATAGGCGTGGCCGCCACGGCCCTCGTGCACCACTTCCAAATCGTCTCCCACGGCTTCGCCGCCGCGCTCACGCCGCTGCAGCTCTGGCGGGTGAAGCGCCACCCCGCCGTGGCGGCCGTGCGCAGGAGCCGGATTTTCCGCAAGCATACATTCGACTCGCCCGTGTTTCTCGGGTTGCCCGACTCGCTTTGGCAGACGGCGGGCGGGCAGAGCAGCGCGGGGGCGGACGTGGTGGTGGGCGTGATAGACACGGGCATCTGGCCCGAACACAGCTCGTTCGACGACACGGTCAGTGCTTGATTGTGCTGCCAGCGCCACCACCACCGCTGCCAATGCCACCACCACCGCTGCCAATGCCACCACCACCGCTGCCAATGCCGCCACCACCGCTGCCAATGCCACCACCACCGCTGGCACTGCCACCACCGCGAGTGCCTTGTTGTTTTCTAATCGCCTGCCACCAGCACCGCTGCCATCATCACCACCCTCTCTCCACCGCTCTTCCTCTTATTCCTCACACGTGTGCTCACCACCGCGCTTTCGCGTGCACACACGTACAGGCAGGCACACGTGCTATCAGCAACAGCCACCAGGGGCAGGCACTGAGCAGGCACTGAGCAGGCACTGAGCAGGCACTGAGCAGGCATGAAGCGGGCATTTTGCACCCTTGCGCAAGCATATAACACAAAGGGTTTGCAACAACAACCCACTCCAGTCGATCCACTCATGCCTTGCCGTTGCAGCCACCCACGCACCACTCACCCACCCACCCTTCTCACTCGCGTCAGCATGAACAGTCATCGGAACGTGGCTCCACAATTCACCCAGTTGCCCCTTCCGCTTCCGCCCTTTCCTCTCCCTCCTCCGCCCTTCCCCCTCCCCTCTCCGCTCCGCCCTCTCCGCGTGCCTCCCCCTTGCTCCTGCAAGGGCTGAGCGGCACGCCAGCGACGTGGCAGGGCACGTGCGAGACATCGGCGGATTTCAGCTGCAACGGCTGTCGAGACTAGAACGGGTGAAAAGATTGACTAAGGGAAACGAGATACAAGAGGATATAGCTAACCCTAGGAATATGAAATGGTACACCTAGACTAACAAAAACTAAACATATAAAATATATGTTGACACACCCCCATAGTCTAGGTGACGGCAGTCCTGTGGAAAGCAACACAAATCTCAGGGTGGGTCTCAAGGACACACACATTCTGAGAGCAAGCAAGGGTCACGTGACCGGTCAGCAAGAACAAGCAAGGGTCACAAGACCAATCCACAAGAACAAGACAAATCTCAGGGTGGAGCTCAAAGTCACCACACACTCCGAGAGCAAGCAAGAGGCCACAAGGCCAGTCCACATGCAGGTATATAGCAAATATAATGAGATGCAAGAGTACAAGACAAGCAGGACAAAGCATCTCTATGTAAGCAAGTGAGGACGGGCAGGCACAAGGCCAAGCTGGGTGCAGAAACGCTGGTGGTCACAAGGCGGCAACGCCTTGGTGAAGATATCTGCCGTGTTGGCCTCAGAGACCACGCGTCGTACGAGTGCCTGGCCACGCTGCTGCAACTCACGCAGAAGGAAGTAACGAAGCTGGATGTGCTTCGACTTCCCAACCAGTCGGGGCTCCTCACACAACAGGACAGCAGACCTGTTGTCGGCGAACAAGACTGGGGGAGAGCGAGGCCGCTCACCAAGGTCGGTGAGAAGGAAAGACAGCCAGCGAAGCTCCTGAGCGGCCATGGCCGCAGCGTACACCTCTGCCTCACAGCTGGAACCGGAGACGGACGACGCCCGAGTCGACCGCCACGAAACAGCACCTGTCCCGAGGCTAAAGGAGTACCCCTGTGTAGACCGACGCGTCTCCGCGTCGTCGGCCCACGACGAGTCCGAGTAACCTGTGAGTGTAACTGGCTGCTTCCCTCCAAGGACAAGTCCCATGCCTGATGTACTCGCCACATACTTCGCCACCCTCTTAGCAGCGTACCAGTGGGACGGTCGGTGTCTCCCAGGCGCAACAAAGCGCGCAAGGACGCTAAGAGGGTAAGCTAGGTCTGGGCGAGTACATGTCATCAGGTACATGAGACAACCCACCAGCTCAGGATATGGACCACTGGGCTCAAATGACTCGTCCAAAGGTGGAGCCGTGAGCCCATGATCCACACCAAGAGGGGTGAGCTGTACCTTGGAGAACGGGAAGCGAAACCGCGTGAGGATCTGCTCGACCATATGCGACTGCGTCAGCGTAATGGTGCGAGCTGCCCTGTCCCTAGTGATCTGCAGGCCAAGGTAGTGATGCAGCTCACCAAGGTCAGTGCAAGTGTGTCTCCTCTGCAGTTCCTCCTTCACGGAGGCCAGTGCGTGTCGGTCGGGAGTGGCGAAGACCAGGTCGTCAACGTAAACAAGAACAAAGAACGGGGTCGAGCCACGGCGGACGAACAGTGACGGGTCGGCAGACGACGGAAAGAAGTCAAGCGCTGCAAGGGTCGAGCGAAGTGTGTCGTGCCACTCACGTGGAGCCTGACGCAGGCCGTAGACTGGTCGACGCAGCTGCCACTGGGTCCCAGGTGGGAAAGAGCCAGTGAAGCCAGGCGGGCGACGCAGCCAGATCTGCTCGTGCAGGCTCCCCTGAAGGAACGCGGTGGAAAAGTCTAGAGAGTGCAACTCGTAGTCGCGCTGGGCTGCAATGTGCAGCAACACCCGAAGAGTACTCATCTTCGGGGTGGGAGCGAAGGTCTGGAAGAAGTCCACCCCCGCTCGCTGACTGAAGCCTCTCGCCACATAGCGCGCCTTGAACACTGGTGGTGATCCAGGCGGCCGCTTCACCTTGTAGAGCCATCGGCCACTGACGACGTTCGTCCCAGGTGGTGGGACTGCGTCGACGTAAGTGCCTGTGGACCTATAAGATGCCATCTCTGCCTCCTCAGCTGCTATCCAGTACGAGGCCCAAGGTCCCGAGACCGCCTCAGCGTGAGTGCGAGGGATCGGAATGTCAAGAGCGTCTGGATCCCCCTCAGGGGCAAGCAGCATGGCGCAGAGATGAGGAACAGCGGCCGCAAGGAAACCAAGCTCAAACTGCCTGTCCTCCAGGACCTCCAAGGGAAAGACAGGAGCACCCCCAGAGGACGGAGAACGAGCAGCGCCACTCACCAGGTGAGCGGCGTAGTCAAGGCGGTGGGAAGAGGCAAAGTCAGCGACAGTGGTAACAAGTGCTGAGACAGACGACAAGGGTGCAGTCGGGTGAGTGACCAACGCGGACAAAACACGGGAGACAACAGGACGGGAGGCACGAAGGTAGTCGGACAACGGGTCGTGAAGCACAGTGAGGGACGACTCAGGGGGCTGTGGAAGGACGGGAGGAGGTGGAACACGAGAGCGAAGAACGAGGTGGAACGGACCGTCTGCACGGTAACGGGACCGACGACGCTCAGGGGACACAGCACGACTGAGGGGAGAACGACGAGTCCACTGGGACGAGGAAAGGGACTCAACAGGGGGAACAGGAGGGGACGGTAGGGGACCACGAACAAAGCGTGCAGGTGATGGGTCGGGGAGGTCGCGTAGTCGCAGTCGGTGCTGCTCCGCCTCCTCTGGCGTCTGTTGCGACGGTACCGGCCCCTGCTGCTGCTCCTGTGGCTCCGCCTCTGCCCTCTCCTGCTGCGACTGCAGCTGCACCCGCTGCTGGGACCGGGACTCCTCCTCTACTCTCTCCTGCTGGGTCTGTAACTGCACCTGCTGCTGCGGGTGGGACTCCTGCTCTACCCTCTCCTGGTGCGGCGGTGACTGCTCCTCTACTCGCTCCTGCCGGGTCTGTAACTGCACCTGCTGCTGCGGGTGGGACTCCTGCTCTACCCTCTCCTGGTGCGGCCGTGACTCCTCCTCTACCCTCTCCTGCTGCGGCTGTGACTCCTCCTCTACTCTCTCGTGCTGCTGCTGCTGCTGCTGCTGCTGTGCCCTCTCAAACCGCGCACGCTCCTCCCTCTCCAACTGGAAGAGACGCTGCTCACGGGTCAGGAAACGTACAGTGCGCGGTGTAGGCGCCACAGTGCCAGTGCCTCCAGCTCCAGCACCCCCAGAACCAACACCTCCACCGTCGACACCCCCGGAGCCTCCAGTGCCTCCCGCAGTAGCACCCCCGGGCTCCGCAGAAACCAGCCGCAGAGAAGAACGAGGAGGGAACTGCGGGACGGACGGGAAGCCAGGGGGTGACGCGGGGCGAGGCCGCCGGCTCGAGGCTGCCGTGTCCTCCACGGGAGTGACCTCCACACCCACAACCCCTGCACCCCCAGAGCCGACACCACCAGCTCCTGCAGCCCCAGTACCCTCACCCTCCGCAACTGCACCTCCCGCACCCTCAAACACGACACGGACTGGACGCTGCGGGGGGGACGACTGCGGAGTGACGTGCGACACACCTGACGGGGCAGGACGCGAAGGGGGGGGGGCTACCGGGGCGACTGGGGGGGGCTCAAGGGTGAGGAACAGCGGGGGGGAAAAGGCCTCAGTACCTCGGTGGGGGCGACTCCTGTAGTAACAGACAGACTCGTCGAACGTGACGTCCTGAGAAGCGAAGAACTGGTAGGTGGCCGGGTCGTAGAACAACCAGCCGGAGGCGTCCAAAGGGAAACCAAGAAAGACGCAGGCACGGGTGCGCGGAGACAACTTGTTCGCGCCAGGGGCGCGAACGTGAGCCAGAGAGCCCCAGACACGGAAGTCAGCTGCTACGCCCGGAGAACCTGTCCAAAGGGAGACTGGCGTCACCCGTGGCCGTGCGTCACTAGGCCACAGGTTCAGCTGGTGCGCGGCGTAGCGGACTGCCTGGGGCCACAAGAACTGGGGGGCACCGGCATGGCACATGGAGGTCCGGGCAACCTCCATGACCAGGCCGATGCGACGCTCGGCTACCCCGTTCTGCTGCGGCGAGGCTGGTAACGTGTAAGACTGGATAATCCCCCGACCCTGACAGAACGTCTCCAGTCGAGTGGAAGAGAACTCACCACCACGATCCGAGTGTAGACGGAGCCCACACAGGCCCTGGGCGCCACCCCTCGCTAGTAGCCACGGCTCGAGGACGGTAGGCACGTCGGCCTTCCGTCGCAAAGGGAAAACCGTGGTGTAGCGGGAGTAGTCGTCCACCACAATCAGGAAGTAGCGCTCCTGACGTGGGCCAAGGACCGGGGAGGGGCCCCAGACGTCCAAGTGCAGGGTCTGGAAGGGAGACGTGGTGGGGGGGAACGAGGAGGAGTGAGGGGCAGCGCGCTGCCGACCCTCGACGCAAGGAGTGCACGGCGGCGCTGGAGAGCGGGGAAGCGGGGCAAGCGACGCTGGGAGACCTGAGACCAGACGGTGACGTGCCATCCTACTGAGACGTGGGAACGACGGGTGACCTAGACGGTGGTGCCAGAGGACCGACGGGTGGGTGAGGGACCGACAGTCACACGACACAGCGGCTACCTGACCTGACCTGACCAGACCTGACCCAGTGTGGTGGGACCCGGTGTGTAGTGAGTACAGACCAGAGCCCGGCTCCCTGCGAAAGGTGGCCAGAGGGGCCCCAGTGGTACCGACTGTGCAGGAGGCAACTGACTCCTCTAAGGGAAAAGTGGTGACTACTCCGAGGTCGTGGAGGTGGCTGACACCCACCAGGTTCCTAGAGAACGAGGGGGTGTAGTAACCTGTAAGGACCCCAGAGGGAGCAGCCGGACACGGGAGAGTGGTGGTGCTGCGAGCAACCACAGGTCCCACAGAGGGGTCGGCCAAGGCAACAGTGACGGGGGTGCGTAGTGGTGTGAGGTCGGCGCGGTCACGAAAGAAACAGCTGGACGCCCCAGAGTCGAGTGTGAACGACAGGGACGCAGTCTCGGTGGTCGAACCTGGACAAGCTACGCTAGCAGGGAAAGCACTAGCAACCTCTACAGCACCTAAGCTAGAGAAACAGGAATAGTACGCAAAATCATCAACAATAGAGTCATCGGCATACATCACAGACATAGAACGCACAGCCTCATCTAACTGAGGTGCAGTCATGCTATACAACTGCGGGCCAACAGAACGAGCCAGTGAGGCCCAATCGGGGACAGTGCGGGTGGGGCCAAACTGCGCACGGTAGCGGTCAGTGAGCTGTGCAAAGCACTGACCCGGGGGGTGGAAGCGGCCACAAGGGTAGCCTCCACGCGGCCCAGTCAGCACCCTATACTGGCAGGGGGGGTGCTGGGCTGGACCACGCGACGTCCAGCTGGGCGGGCCGCTGCTGCTGACAGAGCTCCCGGGTCCAGGGGACCTCCACTGCTGCTGCGGCGTCTGCTGGCGCTGGCCCTGGAACTGCTGCTGCCGCTGCTGCTGTGGCTGCGGCTGCTGCGGCTGCTGCTGGTGAGGCTGCTGCTGCTGGGGGGCCCCACTACCTCCACCTCCACTGCCTCCTCCTCCGCCTCCTCCACCACTCCCACCCCCTCCACCTCCTCCACCACCACCCCCTACGCCACCTCCACCACTGCCCCCTCCGCCACCCCCACCACCGCCCCCTCCGCCACCCCCACCACTGCCACCACCTCCTCCCTTAGGTCGGGGCACGGGGCGGTGGGCCCACGGCGGTTCTGCACGGTTCAGTGCGGTTCTGCCCGGTTCTGCGCGGTTCTGCACGGTTCAGTTCGGTGGAGAGTACGGGGTGGGGTAGCAGCTCTGGCTGGTACGGATGGGTCAGCAGGTAAGGTTCTGGGCGGTGTCGCACGGTTCTGTGCGTTTCTACGCGGTGCTGTACGGTTCTGGGCGGGGGAGAGTAACTGGTGGGGCGGCTGGGACGGGTGGTACAGCGGGCACCAGGTGGGTCAGCGGGGATGGGTGAGACGGTACCGCAGCTGGCGGGCTGTGCGTGCGTGCGGCTATTGCTGCGCGTGCGTGCAGCTATGGCCGCGCGTGCATGCTGCTAATGCCGCGCGTGCGTGCTCCTAATGCCGCGCGTGCGTACGGCTAATGCTGCACGTGCGTGCGGCTAATGCTGCGCGTGCGCGCGGTCGCATGTGCGGCTACGACTGCACGTGTGCATGGGCCTGCTGCGCGCTAGCGGGCTGGCGAGCTACGCACGGGGCAGAAAACGGGTGAGGCGCGGGTGAAAAAAAAACGGGTGACGCTCTGTGCTAAACGGATGACGCGCTAGCTAAGGGGGGGGTAGCAGGGCGCTTCGGGTATTAAGTGGCTACGTTCCTAGGTCGGGGCACGGGGCGGTGGGCCCATAGGGTCGACTAGCTCTGATACCATGTCGAGACTAGAACGGGTGAAAAGATTGACTAAGGGAAACGAGATACAAGAGGATATAGCTAACCCTAGGAATATGAAATGGTACACCTAGACTAACAAAAACTAAACATATAAAATATATGTTGACAACGGCAAGCTGATCGGCGCACGTAAAATGTACAAGGGATTCAAGAAGGAGAGCAACGGAGGGCCCGACTTCTCGTACGACTATGACTCGCCACGTGACTCCGACGGCCACGGCACTTGGTGCGCTGGGTGCGTGCAGGCAGCAGGGTGAGGGGTGCGTGGGGGGAGAAAGTGGGGGAAAGTAGGGCGTGGGGGAAGAGAGGGGAAGAGGAGGGTGAAGGGGGAGAGAGGGGAGAGTTGCGCCAGAAGCTCCTGTGGCTTTCCAATTTCCTTGCTGCAACTTTGCTCTCATGCTCGCCTCGCTCTCTCCGACCCTCATCCAACTCACTCTCCCTTCTCCTTCTCCCCACCCACTTGCTCCCGCTCTCCATCCCTCTCGCCCTCCACTTTTCCCCCACATCACTCCTCCCTGCACCCGATCACAGCAGCAGTGGGCGGGAAGGCGAGGCAAGCTGGCTATGACTCCTCACGACTTCTGATTGAACGATACTTATGAATCATGGATGCGGCTCTAACGCCTGTTCTGCTCCGCTTCCCCCCTGCCCCACCCTCCCGCTCCCCCTTCCCCCCTCCCCCTGCACGCATTCAGAGCAGCGGTGGGCGCGAAGGTGAGCTGGGCATCGGGGGACACGAGCGGCATGGCGCCGGCAGCGCGGCTAGCGGCGTACAAGGTGTTTTGGGCGGACAGCTACGGCACGTATGCGTCTGACACGGATATTGTGGCTGCCGTGGACCATGCTGTGGCTGACGGTGTGGACGTGCTGTCTCTCAGCCTGGGGGGGGCGAACCCCCAGGATAACTACTTCACGGATGTTGCCTTCCTCAATACCAATGCTGTGAGGGAGCAGGGTGTAAGGGGGATATTGCCTGGTGCGAGGGGCAGGGGAGTGAGAAGGAGATTGGGATAGGGAGAGGGCGAACGAGAGGGAGTGGGAGTGGGGGGGGAGTTGGAGGGGGAATAAAAGGAAGGGATGACGAGGAAGGGTACGAGAAGACGAGTGTTCCCTGAAAGAGAAGGGCCTGTTGACGATTCTTAGTGAGTAAGCGTCCCCCCCTGGCCTTCGACCCACTCTCATGAGTATCCATGAAAGACCATCAACACTCAACCCACTTCTTGTTTCACTCCAAACCGCATAGAATCTGACAAGCACCACGCCCATCACACGTCTGCGCATCAGACCATGGCATACGTTGCATGCCACACCGGCGCACACCCCTCTTGACCTTTGAGTCGACGCATGAGTCGCCTCGTTGCACTCCAATGCCCACACATTAGACGCAGCCTATCACACGTCTGTGCACAGCTGACTGCTCATGCCACTTTCCTTGTACCCCTCTCCCTCACCCCCGGCGTGTCTCAGGCTGGCGTGGTGGTGGCGTTTGCCTCAGGGAACGCCGGAGGGCCCAAGAGATGGAATCCCGTGTTGTACCGATCCATTGACAACTTCTCGCCCTTCTACCTCACTGTTGGCGCCAGGTGTGCTTGCACTGCCACGTAGGATTGCACTGCCACGTGGGTGGGGTTGCAGTGGCTCGTGGGTAGTACGGAACAGGCGAGTACGGAACGGGTGGCAGGTCAAGATGACTCCACTGTCAAGCACGTGCAGCAGCTTGCAGCCCGCAGCCTGCCATCTCTGCCCTGCATGTGCCTCCACAACGGCCCACTAGTGTATTTCTTGCCTGCTGCTTACTCTGAGGTGCCTCGAAAGTCCACAAAGGCCCACCAGTGTTTCTCTTTCCTGCCGCCGCTGCAAAAGCCGCATGGGTCCTGTCCTGCAAATGAGGGACTTTGCCTGACACTAGTCCTATCTTCCCTACTCCCCTGCCCCCTTTTCATCGCGTGCCACGTACCCCCCCCCCCCCCCCCCCCCCCCGTGTGTGTGCAGCACCATTGAAAGGGGCGGGGCTGTGCTGGGAGCGGCGTCTGTGAAGAGGGAAGCACTCAACGCTACAAAAGCAGCACGGTTTCCTGCTGCTACTAGCAAGTACAGGTGAGGCCAGGGTCGTGCATGGCACTACCCCCACCCCATCATGCATCCAGTTCATCGGTGCTTCGTCTTCCTTGTTCCCTACCCCCTTAGCCTTCTCCCCTCCCGTTTCCTCGCTCCCTCTTTCACCCGCACCCTCTCATATATGTCACACATGAGTACACGTGCACTGCTAGCGTGAATTCATCATGTATGCGTCAATGAAGCACCCGCACCCCCCCATCCCCCCTCCCCCAAGCAGTCCAACCAACAGCACAACCCCGACATCATCACAACAAGCAGCCCAGCCAGCAGCCATAGACACAGCATCGATAGCAGCGCCCATGGTAGCCGGCTTCTCCTCCCGCGGGCCGCTCATTCGCCCCATCAAGGGCACGGCACCGCCCTACCCCACCAACTCCATCCTCAAGCCAGACATCATCGGTCCAGGCGTCGCCCTCTATGCCGCCATGCCAGCCACCACCATTGGTGATGCAGCTGGGCTGGCACAGCTTTCCAGGACGTCCATGGCGACGCCTCATATCGCCGGCATTGCAGCGCTCATCGTGCAGCAACAGCCCGACTGGTCCCCGGCGCAAGTCATGTCTGCTATTATGACCACCGCTGCTGTGCGGAACACTAGAGGGAAGTTCATCAGGACTGCGGGGGGGCGGACTGCGACACCGTGGCAGGTAGGAGCCGGGCATGTGAATCCCCCGAGGGTACTTGACCCCGGATTGACGTACGACGCAGGGGAGAGCCATTACCGGAATTTCCTGGCAGGGCAGAGCATGTGGCGGGCAAAGAAGTTCTTTCCCGGCGCGAGCCTCAGGAGAGTAGCCCCACGCAACGTGAACCGCGCAAGCATCTCAATTGGGCGCATGAAAGGGTACCGCAAGGTGCGGCGGACTGTCACAAACGTGGCTTCCACGACCAGCACGTACACGGGGAAGATCGTGTGCCCGTATGGGGTTGTGATGATGCTCAATCCGAAGCAGTTCACGATCGCACCGGGGGAGAGGGTGACGTTCACGGTGTCGGTGTGGGTGAATGCCAAGTCGATACAGTTCCACTTTGGCAGCCTGACGTGGCGGGATGAGCTCGGACATGTGGTGCGCTCGCCCATTGCCGTGCAGCCGCTGCGCTACATCAAGTGGTGATGCACGGACAGAGGGATGGGTGAGTGAGAGAGAGGTTCAGGTGGTGGGGGGGTGGGGTGGGGAGAGGAGAAAAGGAGGGACGTGAAGAGGCAAGGTCGCAGTGAGCAGTGGGGACCCATGGCAGGCATGCGTAGCTGGAACGTCCGAGACAAGCAACTCAATTCTTTTGGCATCTCAAAAATAAATTCCTTGCACATTACCGGTAGTTCTTTTGACTTAATGCCTCCCTGCAATTCGGGCCAGCTCAAGAGTCAGGACACAGCATTTCTACGGTACCTGTAGATGGCTCACAGCAGCGGTGCATATTTGTAGAGTGTGAGGCAACGATTTTTAGTCACTCACATGCTGTACCATGCTTTAGTATAGTTGATCACATGGTGTCTGTCATTGCTTTGGTGGTGAAGTGTAGCGCGGCATTATGGAAGGAAAAAGAATGGCATTGGGACCAGCTGCGAAGGAATACCAAGTACCGCACCGTGCTATGGCCAAACTTGAGACTTTCTACAAAACTAATTCCAAGGCACCAGCTGTATGCTCAAGATATGCACAGTTGGCAAGACCATAGCGACTACGGTTTTCAGTAAGATTTTTATGCATCATACATAAGGCAGTTACAATAACGAGGGCTGCACAGTAATAGGAATCCTGACTTTGCGCTTAAAGTTATCCTTAAAAACGATAGCCCCATACACGAAATTCCATCTGGGCCTTGGAATCAACCCTGTGATCACCACTAGAAACCGGTACGAGTCGCCAGGAGACAGCGTGATTCTCGGAGGGACCACCTCCACCAACGTCAGAAAAGGCGCCTTCACCTTGGCAACGAAGGTAGCGGGAATGATGCCCACGTTGGTAACAGTGCGCGCTACCGTCACTGTCCCCGCGCAGTGCGAGATCGCGATGGACGGCCGGTTGAGCTGGATCGCATCAATCGGCTCCAGAGTCGCCGTCGGAAAGATCTTGGCCGTCCGTTTCGGGTTCTGCCCCGCAAGCAAGTTCTTGAAATCTGCTGCTATGAGGTCAAAAGTGAGCCCTGGATCGAGCACTTTTGAGGGGTTCACATGGCCCGATCCCATCATCCAGGGATCTGCCTGAAGCCCATTCCACAGCCTAATCGGCCGGCCGTAAACATTCGTGGGCTTGGCCGTGGTCAACACTGCAGACATGACTCTCCCGGGCAGCCATGTCGGGTTCTCCTGGATCACCAGCGCAAGCACGCCTGCCACGTGAGCGGCAGCCATGGAGGTCCCAGAGAGGCGGCGGAAGCGGTTGGTGCGGGCACCGCCGGGAGCAGCGGCCCAGAGCATGACGCCGGGGGCGATGAGGTCGGGCTTGAGCAGGTCGTTGGTGGGCTGGGAGCCTCCTGGACGGGCCAGAGGCAGGGCCACTGGGCCCGTGGAGGAGGTCGCGTCGATGACGGGCGGGCGCAGTGGTTGCAGGAAGCGCAGCCAGAGCAAAGGGCTGAAGCTGGCATGGGGGAGGCGGGCGGGGCGGGGCAGCACAGGGGGGAGAGGATGTGAGAGGGGCAGGGCTACTGGGCTGGTGGAGGAGGCAGAGTCGATGATGGGCAGGCGGAGTGGCTGTGTTAAACGCAGCCAGAGGAAAGGGTTGAAGCTAACGAGGGGGAGCGGGGATGGGCCGGTTGCAACAGAGAGGCGGGTAGCAGCAAGGGTGCCTTCTAATGAAACTAATAAGAACATGGAAAGTTGACGATGGGGAGCAAGGAGGTGAGGGAGGTGAGGGAGGTGCCTCACAGGTTGATGAGTCCTTGCAGTCGTATGCCCAGCAGTGCTGACGTTTCTGCATTTAGCTCCATCACAGGCAACCCACCCCCTGCTGCTGCCATGTCTCTTGCCCCTCCTGCTGCTCCTCCAACACCTTCCACTGTGCTTCGTCCTCGAAGGCTGTCTCCCGACCCACCTCCGGTTGAGTTCACCCCATTCGCCCCACTAGACATCCCACCAACCTCACCACCCAATCCACCACTCCCCTCCCCACTACCCCCCTCTTCCCCCATTCCCTCCTCCACACCCCCGCCCCCTTCACCCTCATCCTCCTCCCCCCCATCAGCATCAGCATAAGTGAGCACGACACCTCGTGCCCCTGCTCTAGCTGCAGCAGCGATCTTCTTTTGCCGGGTCGTGCCTCCAGGCCCGCACACCAGCACCTTGCCCAGCGCCAGCAGCGGGTTGAGTAACCCGGGCATGCACTGGGATGCCTGGGCGGAGTCAACATGGAGGGGGGAGCATGGGAATGGTGTGAGTGAGTCTGCTGGTCGACTGTTTAGCCACACATGAGCACCTCGCCCATCACCTTGCCCCATTACCAGCTCAGGGTTCAGTCACCCCGGCAGGCAGAGAGACGACAGGAAAGAAGGGGGGATGGAAGGAGGATGAGGTGTGGTGTGTGGGCATGGATTGACCGAAGTGAGTGGGTTCAGCGTGCGATGAGCAGAGCGTGCACTGGCCAGCCATGGCCCACACACATGAATCCTGCCTCGTCCATGCCACCCACCTCGTGCATCCCACGCCTCACCTTCTTTCTGGCAGCAGCAGAGAGCGCAGCAGAGGCAGCGGGGGCCATGGGGTGGAACTGCGCGCGTGACCAGTCGCCTGTCAGCCGCACGCCCTCCAGTGCGGATGCCAGGGCAGCCAGTGACGCGTGCTGCCGCCTACGTGTTGCAGAGGCGGGGGAGAGAGACGCGTTGCCAGGCGAGGATGTGGAGGAGGAGGGGGTGGAGGCGAGTTGGTGTTGGGAGGTGGCGGAGGTGGTGGCGGCAGTTGAGAAGTATCCTTTGATGCGTGCTCCGTCCATTGACAGCGACCGGCTTATGGAGCTGCATGCACGCACATGGGGGGCATGGGGAGCATGGGGAGCATGGGGGGCATGGGGAGCATGGGGAGCATGGGGGGCATGGGGAGCATGGGGAGCATGGGGGGCATGGGGGGCAAAAAACACGCAACACATGTGTAAAGGAAAGAGGGCAAAAAGCAGGCACACAGGCACAAAAAGTGGCAGTGGCTGGAAATTCGAGCACAGATGGACATGGAGAAGAGGGCAGTGAAGAAGCGAGTGGGGTGCTTCTCCAAGAGTGTGAGTGCAAAGGGCATGAGTGAGTGGGCACCTGGCGCCGACAGTGAGGTAGAAGGGCGAGTAGTTCTCAATGGTGCGCACTCCCAGCATGAGCCCACGGTTACCGGATGGCTTCACCACTGTCACTCCAGCCTGATGGCCACATACGTACACGGGTGGAGGAGGAAATACAATGCCATGGCACCACTGCAAATGCTTACCTCCCTTAACACCCCGACACGCACATTGTAACGCTTACCCACCTTAACACCGCAATGCTACAACCGCAACCGCGAATAATGTGTTGGGAACGGCAAGTCTGACCCACAAGCAGGCATGATGCGCGCCTCTGCTGTGTTTGAAGCATCCCGGAAAATGTGAGCGGGGGAGGATGGACGCATGGTGGGTACGCGAAGGTTGAGCCCACCCAGCAGAAATAAAAGCAGTGTGTGGTGGTGGGCTAATCACATCCGGTTCTGCTGGTGGTCTGCCGGTCTGTTGCTTAATGTTCAACGAGGAAACAAACGCCCGCCATTCCCCCTTCCACCAAACGGCAGAACTCCTGCATCAGAAAGTCAGCGCTACTAGCGAGAAACAGCGGAGTGGACAGGGCATCCGTGAGGCGCAACGCAACAAGGGACATGCCAACCAGAAATAACCCACGCATTGTACACGCACTCCACTCCACCACAACCAACCAGCCGTTGAGCCCACCTCAAAGGCGTTGAGATAAGAAACATGGTCGAAGTAGGACGCGGTGGGGCTGAACCCGGCGCTGAGCGGCACGAGCAGCACGTCGATGTTGTCCTGAATGGCGTAGTCCACTGCTGCCTCCACGTCCACCAGCGACGCCACTCCCCCCGGCCTGTCCACGCCGCCCACGCCTGGGATCAGCTGTGTGCGCCACACGACTTTGTACACGGCGATGCGTGCGCGGGGAGCCATGCCGCTGGCTGCGCCCAGGGGGCGTGTGAACGGGCCGCCCACTGCCTTGATGTACCGGTTGCCCGCTGCTGCCCTGGAAAGGGGAATGGGAGGGCGGTGGAAGGGGGAGGTGTGAGGGAGAAGCAGGAGGAAATGGGGCGGTGGGGGAGAGTGGGGGAAGGAGGTGGGGGTGGGAGGGAAGGGGAGAGCAGAGGGGTGGTACAGGTACGCAGGCGGCTCGCTGGCGCTACACAGGGGGCGCATGAAGAGGCGCCCACTGCCCACTGCCCACTGCCCACTGCCCACTGCCCACTGCTGCCATGTAGCGGTCGTCCGTTGCCCGGACCACCTCATCCCTCATCCCCCTCTCCTCCCGTTGCCCTCATCTCTCTCACTCACCCGGCACACCAGGAGCCATGGCCGAGCACGTCTCGGGGCGAGAGGTAGTCAACAGTGAGGTCGATGGCCCGGCCGGACTTGACGAGGCCCTGGTAGATGTAGCGCGCGCCCAGCACCTTGGTGTTGCACGCGGGGAAGTCGCTTGTCACTGTGCACACGCCCTTGTAGTCCACTGGCTGCCCCCCGTACAGGTCCCCCGCCTGCACTCACACATGGATGCATGGGTGCATGGATGGAGGAATGCATGGGTGCATGGACGGAGGAATGCATGGGTGCATGGACGGAGGTGGGTGGAAATTCAGGTGACGAGGTCCAGGAGAAGGAGGGGTTCTGTAAGCGCCTTGCACCGCTGCAGTGCACGGCTGGCACTGTACTGTACAGGAGCAGTGCTCACATACTCACCAGATGCCGCTGTCCACAAGGCCAACACCACGTCCTCGACCGCCCTGTCTCCCTCACCCCCCACCGACTACTTATCACCCCTCACTCCTCACCAGTATACCTTCACCCTTCACAGCCCACCCTCTTCCTTCCCCCCCGCACCTTGCTACTGAACGAGTCATGCTCGGGCCAGATACCGCTGTCTGCCACGCCAATCACCACGTCCTCGGCCCTCCGGTCTCCCTCACCCCTCACCCCCTACATCCCCTCCATTCACAACCCACCCTCTTCTCCCCGCTCGCCTTGCTACTGACCGAGTCTTGCTCGGGCCAGACACCGCTATCTGACACGCCAACCACCACGTCCTCAACTCCCCAGTCTCCCTCACCCCTCGCCCCCTACAGCCCCACCTTTCACAACCACCCTCTTCTCCCCCCGCACCTTGCTACTGAAGCTGTCATGCTCGGGCCAGATACCGCTGTCCGCCACGCCAATCACCACGTCCTCGCCTGCAGCGTCCGCGCCCCCAGCAGTGACCCAAGCGGTGGAGGGGAGGCGCAGGAAGCGAGAGGAGGCGGTGGTCTGCGGGTACAGCAGGTCGTCCCCGCGCTGCACTGCTGCCACTGCTGGGTGCCGCGACAGCCGCCACACTTGTAGTGGCGTGAGCAGCGCTGCAAACGCGTGGCTGGAGTAGCTGAAGCTGGAGTGCGGGAAGCGGAGGAAAGGAGGAGAGCGGTGGGGGAATCGTGGGAGGTTAGGCACGGGGGTTGGGTGCACAAGGGGACATGAGCAGCGCTGCGAAAATGTGGCTGGGAAATCTGGAGCTGGAGTGTGGGAGGGGGAGGAAGAGGACAGGGGCGAACGGGGTTTGGGTAGGGAAGGGGTAGGTGAGTGCAATGGTGTTCGGTGGAGAGGGGGAGGTGGGGGCATGTGGAATGAAGGTCAGGTAGGCTGGCAGGGAAGGCAGAAAAGGGTTGCAGCAGGGGTATCTGCAGAAGAGGAGAATGCTGAAGAGATATGGCAAGGAGTGGGTGGGGTGGTTGAAGTCGGGGCGTTGCGAGGTTGATTTGGCTGATGTGAAGAGGTGAAGGAGGAAGGGATGAAGAAAGCTGTGCCCAAGAAGGATGGTAGAAGCAACAAATGGCTCATGTAACATTTGCCCATGCATACTGGGGGCACCAGCTGTTGGATATACAGGCGTCGTTATGCACACAACACATTGCACCCGCACACATGCGCGCACACCCATGCACGCGCGCACACACACACACAGAAGGCCCAGCACCATGCACCAGGCGCCACCAATGTCACTCACTGGTGCGCTAGGCTGTCTGGAGCCACCCCCACCTCCGCCGCCACGGCCTGCTGCTGCTCCCGCAGGAACTGTGCAAAATGCTGCACGTGCTCCGCCTTTATGTCCACCTTCCCCTGCCTCCGCTGCTGCCGCCACTCATGCCGCCGCCGCTGCTGCTCCCCGTTGGCTGCATCTGCAGCTGCTGCGGCGGAGAAAGCAGGGGACGATGATGCATTGGCGTGTATGGAAGGCTGGGACGATGCGCCAGGGGTAGCAGTCCCAGCGGGGTTGGGGGCGTCAGTGGCGGTGTTAGGCCGGTGGGCTGTGCTGTTGTGTTGTGAATCTACGCTGGTGTTGCTTGATGCAGCTGCAGATGGGGCCGTCGCTGGATAACCGTTGATTCCTCCTCGGTACGATCCGACGGCTGGGGCAGAGCGAAGCCTCACAATGTGGAGCGACGCCTTGAAAGGCTGGGGTACTGCGAGGGGGGGCGAGGGGGAGCGAGAGGGAGCGAGAGGGAACGAGGGGGAGCGAGGGGGGAGCGAGGGGGAGCGAGGGGGGAGCGAGGGGGGAGCGAGGAGGAAGCGAAGGGGAGCGAGGGTGAGCGAAGGGGAGCGAGGGTGAGCGAGGGTGAGCGAGGGGGAGCGAGGGTGAGCGAGTGAGAGCGCGGGAGGAGCGAGGGAGGAGCGAGGGAGGAGCGAGCAGGGGAAACGGGGAAGAATAAAGGGGCGAAAGGGGGAAAGTTGAAGAATGAAGGACGGAACAGTGGGATATGGAACCAAAGGGCTCGGGCGAAGTACGGATGTGGAAAGGTGAGGACTCAGGTGGAAAGAAGAGGGGGATAGGTGGAAGACTGTGGACTGAGTTCCGTGGCGCAGCCGTCGCTACCTCTGTCCACCCCGCCCTGACTTTCCCATTCGCGTCAAAAGCAGCCCCAGGGCAGTCACAAGCAGAGACGAACCAATCGCCATTGCGCTTCAGTCTCGCGCTTCTGCCTTCTACCACGGCCATGAAAGCCCAAGTCGCGCCCCTAATCTCTCCCCCCATGCGCTTCCTGCGCGCAGTGCTGTCGTTTATCTCTACCCTCCTCCCTCCCACACTGCGCGCCGCATCATGCGGCTGCATGACCGAAGAAGCAACCCTATTCCCCACGCCACTGTGATCGTATCTCTCTGAACGAACCACTCTCTTGACGGAACGCTATAGATAATCACCACGCGGAAAGAATACGAGGGGGCGCGGGAAACGGAGATGTTACTTTTAGAGGAGGCCGGAGGCGGGTGGAGGACCAGCAGAAGGAGCAGCAGCGGGAGCGGCGAGCGCGCCGAGCGCGGTGACATTGCTGGGGGGGAGGGACGCGCGTGGAGAGCAATGGCGCGCGGAGAGGCTGGGGGAAGTTGCTGGTGGGCGAGCTCGTCGTGCTAGGCGCGCATGGGGTAACATGTGCGCGTGGGCGACGACGATTGTGGCTTGCGCGTGCCTGTAGGGAGGAGCGAAGGCTGCGGAGGGGAAGTTCTTCGCCGTGGAGGGAGAATGTTGGGAAAGGGAGTGCGTGGAAGCTGTGTAAGCTATGATGTTTGGTACGGCAGTTGTACTAGCGGCATTCGCGCCGTCGCCCAACGAGGCATACGACGTAAAGAGCGGGAGGTTCGGAGTATTCTAAGCGGCACTTGCGCTCCAAGTCTCATTGAAAATACAGTGGTGGAAGTTGCTGATCATCGGGCGCCTGTACGAAATGCTGGTTGCAGATAGAGCTGAAGATTGTGTGTGCGTTGGGTAGATGCTCGTGCTGTTGCTGCTTTGTTCAGGGAGGCTTGGTTGGTGGCAGCGGGGGTGGCAGTGGTGGTGGAGAAACGTTGCTGGAAACATATTCATCGGTTCCAATCGGTAAACGATGGTTTGGCTACGCTGGCTTCTACAAGGCACTGACCGTAAATTGCGCCAATGAATGGGACAGGTCCAGTGTACAGTACATTTGAGTGCGCCAGCGCGAACAAACCACGCCAGCGAACGGTCAGCGATCTCTGCACATGGGAAGATGCATCATGGCAGCCGTCGATCCAGTTTGAACTGGTGAGGGCTGTGCTTAATAGTTACACGTAGGTGTCCTTTGTTGTTGTCGCGGCGCGCCTAGTCAGACGGTGAGTCGCTGGAGTGCGCTGACTATTAGGGTAAATCACTCATAGATAGATTTAAAGCTCCTAGAAGCTTTCCGCCAAATTTTAAGAGCGCACATTTTGCACTACCGCAACCGTAATCGCTATTCTTCTCCCACCCACCTCCTCAGTTGGGCGATCTCCCACCCTGTTGGTTCCGTTTTGTAAACCCAGGAAGGAAACGCATTCTGAGTAAGGAATTTGTTCATTTCGGGTGCTTCCGTTCGTGCCAAGAATTTCTGCGACCCATTCCCCACCGATATTCTGTTGAGGAACGTGCGGGGGGCTGGCCGAGAACTCTGCTCCACTATATTTACGTACGCTAACAAATTGGGTATCAGACCCTTACAATCAGGCTCATCTCTTTTAAACATTCTTGTTTTGTGTGTTTAGATATTTCTTTGCTAATAATAATGTTGTGTTCTTCATAACATGTGAATCAGAACCTATTATTAATTTTCCTATTTATTTGCCGTAAAAACAGTTATGATCAGACGCATGACCATGCCATAATCTCCTCATGTTGTTCGCACGGAATTATTGCCGCCGAATTAACAATGTAAATGATTCAGGTCGGAGTAAATGTAAATGTAAATGAAAATGAATGGCATAAGAATGAATGTAAGTGTAAATGAACTCCTCAGATCGGAGTAAATGTAAATGAATGAAGTAATATAACCAGAACATATAGGGGTTTATATAGGAAATACAGGGAATAAGAAGTGACATAAACTTGTGAGAATTGAGGAATGAATGAACTAGCAAGCAGGTGGGTACAAGTAGGAAAACCTAAAAGTGTTGTACCCCATATTGTCTACCCCACTACAGCCTACACAGACTATAGCATATGAGTTTGACACACCCCCATAGGCAAAGTGGGGGAGAACAAGAGGTCACAAGACCAGTCAAGCAAAGCAAAGCAAGCTCAGGGTGGATCACAACGTCACCACACATTCCGAGCACAAGTTCAAGGCCAGAAGTGTCAGAATCAAGAAGTGGTTGAACTACACAAAATTGGAGTACAAGTATGAAACCCTAGAGTTGTGTACCCCCTAAAGGCTAACCCACTATAGCCTACACAGCAATAACACATATATAGTGTTTGACACACCCCCATAGGCAAAGTGGGGGAGAGCAAGGGGTCACAAGACCAGTCAAGAAAGGCAAACAAGCTCAGGGTGGATCACAACGTCACCACACACTCTGAGCACAAGCAACGGGCCTCAGTGCCAGTTCACATGCAGAGGCATATATGCAACACAAACAGCAAGGTGATCTCAACCTAGCAAAGCAAACAGGCAGGTATATATATATAGAGATCACAGTACAGCCAAAGCCTACAGCAAGTGAGAAAAAGTGGGCACAAGCCCTAGTAAAGTGCAGAAACGCTGATGATCACCAGACTGAAGTGCCTTGGTGAATATATCAGCGGTGTTGGCCTGAGTGGCCACGTAACGCAGACGAAGCTGGCCGCGCTGCTGCAGCTCTCGAGCCAGGAAGTAACGGAGAGCGATGTGCTTCGTTCTGTGCTCCAGTCTGTGCTCCTCACACAAGGCAATAACAGCCTTGTTGTCGACGTACAGCACTGGAGGAGAACTAGGCCGCTCTCCCATGAGGCGACGGCGGCAGCTGGAAGCGACCTCCAGCCGCTCCCTCATCTTCTTCCAATCGCGGATCTGGCATGGCTGCACCTTCGCGAGCTTCGCCAGGGCGTGATTCGACAGGTCGGGCTGCGAGTCCTGCAGCTTCAACCAGTGGAGCTTCTCCTTCGCGGTGATTGCATTGCGCTGGCGTTTCGTCATGCGATGGCGAGGGGATGGCGCGTCAGCATCGGCGTTGCGCTTTGGCTGTCCCTGCGGGCGGTTACGCTCCGGGAACGTGGGGACAACCACTCGAGGAAGGGTAGGGCGAGGACGGTCCAAGCTACTGCTCGGTTCATCCCTGGTAGAAGCACTACCGGGAGCATCCGGCTGAGGCAAGATCGGACGAGGAGACGTCCATGCGCGTGCAGCAGCGCTAGTCTGATTGGTGGAAACAGGCCGCTACCGCCTATCTACCGTACTGCTAGAATCTGGAGATGAAGCCATACTTGGGAACTAGGTAGGTCGATGTCACTCGCCATGGGAGAAATGACTTTAAAGTCGATACCTCGTGCACAGGAAGGAGACGCTCTCATAGCCTGCCGAGCACTTGTGAAAGACGTGCACTGGAACCGCTTCACGAAGAGAATAGCAAACCCTTGTGAGGAAGCCTGGACGTGACTACCGTACACGGCAGTCAAGGGGTCACAGGTACAGTGACAACACAGCACCGTGCGCGATTCCGGCCTCGTACTGCATGAAACCAAGCTGCGCGAGGTTGGCACTGATATCAACCAATCAGGTGTCACAGTGGGCCCACTGGAATTTGCCATGTGGCAGATTCCAGTGGAGGCCGACATTATCCTCGTAAACGCGGTTTGGCGGCCCTGAACAAAAAGATACTAGTGAGGCCAGACCCCTGTTTTTGTTTCCATTCATTTCAGCTTATGAAGAAATGTGCAATATAATAAGACCCGGGTATTATGTATTTTTGTCCTCTGAGGAGACCCCCCCCATTTTTTCCCTGTATTTTTAGCTATACCCTAGGGTGTTATGTCCGGGAGAATACGGTATCGTATAGCAATGCCAAACCTCACAAGCATACAGTAATCAGGAAAGCGAGAGAGCCACAGTGGCGGCATGAGCGCGCATCACAGCAACAGCTTGCTCCAGCACTGCTCTATCCCTGGCCTTCTGCGCCCACTCCCCACCCAACTCCTCCGCCTTAGTCCCCGCAAGCGCCCCCTCCAATGCCTCTGCCGCTGCCTGCAGCTGCCCACCCTGCATCAGAGCTTCGGCCTGAGCCACTGCTGCCTCCACCCCACCTCCCGGCAGCTCTGTGCCCGTTTCAGGCAGCTGGGGAGGGGTGATAAGGGGTGTGGGTGGGTGGGGAGGGAAAAGAGTAGAGAAGCTCATGAGAGGAGATAATAAGATGCAGGAATTTTGCGAGGAAGAGGAGAATGAAGAGGCCAGAGCGCAGGAGAAACAAGACAGAGAAGGGAGCACAGATGCAGCATGGTTGAATGGGGTACGCGTTGACACTTGCCTGCTAGAATTCCAGCCAGCTCATTGTCACCATTTTCACCCACCCCACCCCCCCTTCTCTCCTCCCCACCTTGATCATCGCAGCCAGAAACGCCAAGGCATGAGCCACCACCCCGGCGCCCTGAGGTGGCATGAGCCCCAGCTGACTCAGCGACAGCCGCAGCGCAGTCAGCTGCTGCCGCAGCTGAGCTGGCGTGGGCACGCCCTGGTCAGCAGCAGGGGGCGGCAGCGAGGCCAACACAGCATCCACGAGAGCATCTGCTGCTGGTGCCTCTGCTGCCACCACACCTGCGTTTTCACCTGCGCTGCCGCTAGTGCCGCTGACACTGGTTGTTGTGGGTGCAACAGTGGCTTGTTGGTTGGAGAAGGAGAGAGGGAGGGAGGAGGGTTGGAGGGATGTGGGCGGCAGGGCGAGGGGAGTGCCGTTCAAAGCAGCGTCTTCTAGAGCGAAGCAGAGCTGATTTGGGAGATGGGGAAGATGGGGGGGGATAAAAGATAAGAGCAGAAAGGTAAGGGGAGGGCATAAAGCGGGGATGCAAAAGGAAGTGGATTGAAGATAAGAGGTGATACAACGTAGAGAGACAGCAAAAGATGATAAGAGCATGTATCAAACTCGTGGAGAAGGAATTGTGGGAGATGGGTATGAGCGGGAGGAGATGGAGGGAGCGAAGAGAGAGTTAGGTCGAGGGGGAGGAAATGAATGAGGGATGAAGTGAGGGTATTAATGAAGGCTGTCAAATGTAGGCAGAGATAAGGTTACAAACAGGGCTGTGCACGTGCGGGTGCACCTACCAAGCAAGTGGGTATGGCCATACCATGGCAAGGGAGTGCCCAGCATGTCGCTTCCTCTCCTCCTCTGACCGCGTGCGAAAGGCCTCGTGTAGTGCTGCCAGCTGACGGGGCGACAGCAGGGAACAGCGATAGCAGAAATTGCCAGCGCAGTGGTGGTGGGTGGGTGGGTGGGTGTGTGGTGCATGTGTGTGCACATGCGTGCATGCCTATGAACGTGCGCATGTGCGCGTGTGCGTGCGCATTACGCATACACACGTGTACAGCTCCACTCAAGCGCACAAGCTAAAGGAACCCAAATCTGCTTCCGCAAACCCTTCCCTTCTCACCTCCATTCCCGCTCCCTCCCTCCTGTCCCTCGCCCTCCCCCTTGTCCCCAGCTGTGTCCTCACCTGCAGCTTGAGTCACTCCATCTCACGTGTGTGTGCAGCGCCTCTGCAGCAGCCATGCCCGCCACCGCCCATTTTATAGGCGCCTCAGAAAAAGACTCCCCCCCAGCTGCGCCCTCACCTGCAGGTTGAGTCGCTCCACCTCGTGCGTGTGCTGCGCCTCTGCAGCAGCCATGCCCGCCACTGCTCTCGCCTCTGCCACCACCCCCGCCTCTGCTGCCATCGCTGCTCCCTCCTCCTCCTGGTGGGTAGACAGCAGGGGATGGGGTGAGATGGGGTGCGGTGGAGGTGGGTGTTGGATTGGGTGGAAAGTGGTGGAATGGGTTGAGGATGGGATGAAATGGGATGACATCATCATCGCATTACATGGCAAGGCATGGCATGGCATGGAATGGCATGGCATGGCATGGCACGGCACGGCACGGCATGGCATGGCATGGCATGGCATGGCATGGCACGGCACGGCATGCCATGGCATGGCATGGCATGGCATGGCACGGCATGACATGGCATAGCACAGCATGCCATGGCATGGCATAGCACTGCATGCCATGGCATGGCACGGCATGCCATGGCATGGCATGACACGGCATGGCATGACATGGCATGGAGCGGCACGGGATGGCATGGCAAGGCACGGCACGGCATGGCATGGCATGGCAACTCTCCATGTGTCAGGATCAACTCCCTTCAATGAGCCCATGCCACCCAGTGACAACTTGTGACCTACCTCCCGTACCTCCATCCCTCTTCTCCCTGCTTCAAGCTTCCTTCCCTCTTCTCCCTGCTTCAAGCTTCCTTCCCTCTTCTCCCTGCTTCAAGCTTCCTTCCCTCTTCTTCCTGCTTTCTTCCACTGCAATCCCACCTCACCTCCCCTTCCACATCCTGCCCAACCCACTCACATCCGGCCCTCCTCCCCTCCATCCTCCCATCCCCCTCCTCTGTCCCCTGCGCCTTTCACTCACCTTGCCGAGCCCAGGCCAAACCTGCACTTACACAGCCTGCAAAATCCAGGCAGCTCATCCCAGTGTCTCCCCAACCCCGTCTCTTGCCCAATCCCTCTGTGCCGCGTCACCCTCGCATGGCTCAACACCATACAGCTTGGTACATCAATCACGCCTACAGCTTGGTTTCACTTCACACAGATCTCAACGCACGGCTCCTTCCCCAATCCAGCCCCTCCCTCACCTGCTTGCTTCCCACCGCCCCCTGCCCGCCTCCACCCACACCGATCCCAAACCAAACCTACGCCACACCGTCCTCAGACCTTGTCCTCCATGGCCCTCCCATCCGACCACCTGCCCCACCACCTGCCCCACCACCTGCCCCCCTCCCTGCACAAACCTTCTCCTCCATAGCCCTCTCATGCCTGACAGTCAAGCCCAACCCACCCCACACGTACCCCACCCCACACCGTCCTGACACACACCTTGTCCTGCAGGGCCCTCTCGTGGCGGGCAGTCAAGTCCTGCTTGACGCGCTCTGCCTGCGCCTGCAGCTGCTCCCTCTCCCTCTCCCGCGCTGCTCTTAATGCCTCCACCCGCGCCTCTGCGCCCTGTATGCGCTGCTGCAGCTCCAGCACTGCACGCTCGTGCTCCAACTGCAGAGAGAGAGGGAGGCCGGGGGACGGAGGGAGTGGAGAGGAATGGAGAGGGTTGAGGGGGGAGGTAGTGGAGATATGATGGGGAAGGGGAGGGGGAAAGGGGCTGGGAGGAGAGGGAAGAGGAATGAAAAAAGGACGCAGAAGGGGAAAGGGAAGGGGATGGAAGGGGGAAGGGAAGGGGGATGAGGGAGGGGGAGGGAGAGGGGGAGGGAAGGGAAGGAGGAAGAGGAAGGAGAAGGAGAAGGGGAAAAGAGAAGGGGAAGGGGAAAAGAGAAGGGGAAGGGGAAGAGGAAGGGGAAGGGGAAGAGGAAAGGGAAAGGGTATGGGAGGACAGGAAAATATAGGACGAAGAGAACAGAGGGTTGCAGAGTGAAGGAGGCTGGTTGATAAGTTACAGAGAAGCAGTGGTGCACGGCACACAGGAAAATCAAAGCGCACTAGCTGGGGCATCAGACAGTACACAGTTTTGGAAGCTGTACTTTCTAACCACCCATATTATGGAGGGGCTTTTCTCTAACACCCCGTCATCATATTATTCAGCAAACCACACTCATCCCTGTTCCCTCTTTCCACGCTTCCACTTCCCCTCGTCTGCCCTCGCACCGCCCTTTCCCCCTCCTCCGCCCTTTCCCCCTCCTCCACCCTTCACCCCCCGTTCGCCCTTCACCCCTCGTCCGCCCTCTCCCGCTCCACCTGGACCCCCCTCTCCTCTCCCCCCTCACCTGCTCGAGCGTGAGGCGCTCCTCCAGCAGCGCCTCATCCACTGCTTGCTGGCGCCGCCGCGCCTCCTCTATCACGCCCACCACCAGCTGCGCCGGCACCTGCGCCAACCGCGCTGCCTCTGCCCGGGGGGCAGGGGGAACGTGGTAAGGAAAGAGGGGAGAGGGAGAAGGGGAGAGGGAGAGAGGGGAGATGGCAGAGGGGAGAGGGGAGAGGGGGGAGGGGGGAGGGGAGAGGGAGAGAGGGGAGAGGGCAGAGGGGAGAGGGGAGAGGGAGAGAGGGGAGAGGGCAGAGGGGAGAGGGGAGAGGGAGAAGAGGAGAGACGGAGAGGGAGAGATGGGGAGAGAGCGTGACAGGAAGTGAAATGAAGGGCGAGGAAGGGAGTGGGGGATGAAAGGCACCGTACTGGGAGGAGAGAGTGAGGGAGGAGAGAGAGAGGAGGGTAGTAAAGGGAGGAAAACTCCTGCTCGCAAGCTGCTCCACCCCTCACAGGGAGGGTGATCAGGTCCCACCCCTTACAGCCCTCCTTGGATCTTTGGACCGGAACAGGGAGGTTTGTTCACTGCACCAAGACCCGCCCTCACTAGTTACTACTACCCTGCCCTACGGTTCTCTTCCTCTCCGCACCATCCTCCTACTTCCCTCCCCACCCACCCTTCTCCCCGCGTTACCAGCGCTAGAAAGGCCTCCGCCTTGTGTGGTTCCCGTGCTCCTCCTGACTCCCTCCTCCTTCTCTCCCCCCTCCCCCTCCCCTTCCCCCTCCTCTCCCCCCACCAACACCACGTTCCCAACATTCCCCAACATTCCCCTCATCTCTTCCGCCTGCGCTGCTTCTTTCCGCACACCCTCCTTCTCATTTGAGCCACCTGCTACCGCTTCCTCCTCTTTTCCCGCAGCCCCCCTCTCCTCTCCCATTCCTTGCGCCTTCGAAGTCGCCGAAGGGGCTGCTTCCGCCTCTCCGCGCTTTTCCGGATCTTTCTGCGCCTCTTCCCCCACACCCGTGACTCCTCCCCCCGCGCCACGCATCTCCGCACCCCTGTCCGCGCGCTGATCCTGCGTCAATCTGCCCCCTTCCGCCGCCCCGTCCGCCGATTCGCGTTGCGCCGTACCCTTCTCCGCCGCTCCGCCCTTTCCCCTCTCACCAGCGCGCTCCGCCTCCCCTTCCGCATCCGCCAGCAGTGACTGACTTAGAGCCGGAAGCTGCTGCCCCATCTGCGCAATCTGCGCACCCCCCAGCTGCTGATGCTTCTCTTTTGTCGCGTCTTTCACTAGCCGTTCCGTCTCTCGCTGCGCTTCCTGTTGCCGCCACAAGTACCACGCGCCGCCTGCCACCGCCGCCGCAGCAACCACGGCGCCACCGGCTCGGAATCCCTTCGATCCGCCTCCTGGTTGCGGCGGCAAGGCGGCGGCTGCAGCGCCGGCCGCAGTAGCGCCGGATGCGGCGGGACTGGACGACGTGGCAGCTGACGTGGAACCAGAGCCATGGATCGGGTGTGATTGTAACGAGACCGCGGACGACTGAGTCAACAGCCAAATCGCGGACCCAGTCGACGGCGTTATTGCGAGAGGAGGTGACGTAAACGCGGGGAGAGAGAACGACGCTGCAGGCGCGGAAGGCTTGGAAAGCGGCGGGCATGTGAGCGCAGTCGGCGCAGTGTCAAGCCTGGGGGGGCGGAACGGCGAGCGGGCGGGGAGGAGCAGCGAGAGCGAGGCCCGCTGTCTCCATCGCAACGCGTGGCGCGCGCTGTGTTGGCGCAGCATGGGGAGTGGCGGCGGTGCTCTGGTTAGCACGAGCAGGGATGGATCATGGATTGTCCTGTGATGGAGGGGAGAGGATGATAGACGAAACCAGAGCCTGTTTCTTGCGCTCGCGATCGGGAGGGAGGCCCAAACAAAATCGTAATCTGCGAAAGGTTTCGAATGTGAACAAGTGCGAAAAAATCGCGCCAGTTGACAAAGGTCCGACGTGCTCATTGTGAACAGCAGAGAACGTGCAAATAACAAGGTGTGTAATGAATTGTAATTCCTACTCTAGTCTCACTTAGCGAGTACAACCCGAGGGCCGCGCGTCAGCCTAGTTCGGCCTACAATTCCGCCCCGAACCACACCCGAGTCGCCCCCACACCAATCTCAATCATTTACTAGCCATCCTCGCCCGACCACCGTCACTTTTCATTGCATGGGGTTCAGTAATTTCACAGTCTCATTATTTGTTATCTTGCGCACTCTAAGGTTCATTCATAACACCTGGTATCGGAGCTACTTTTCTAGCCTACCCCGCTTTTTAGAGTGAATCACCCCTCAAGAGGGGGGGGGGGGGGGGGGGGGGGGGGGGGGGGGACGAGGAAGGATGCCTTGGGGTCCAGGAGTTGCACGACGGCCGGCCAAGAGAACGGGCCAATTGCGTTTCGCGGCCAAGGAATTATCATGCACTCCTCGGCACCGCCGGATCCTTGCCTCGACAGTCGCGATCGACAGTGACCTCCCTCCCACTAGGAAACAGACAGTTGTGTCTGTCGCGACATCAAACGCATCACCTGGCGTCAGCGGAGCTGCGTCGGCATCTGCACGAAAAGAGTCGGAATTGTCGTCCTTGTCAGAATGTGTTATTTGCCTAGTCTGCAGTGGGGTACTCTATAGTGAGTACAGCCTTTCAAAATACTAGCGTGAGTTTGGCTTAGGAGCCATAGTTTAGGAGCCTTGGTAGTTGAGTTCGAGTTTAGGAAAAGTATCGAGAGGTTTGGAAGGAGAGTAGCAAGAGTTGGGATACAAGTACAACACCCTAAATTGGGTTGTACTCATTACAGAGTACCCCACTGCAGGCTAGACAGCAAATACATTCTGACACACCCCCATAGCCAAAGTGGGGTGTAATCAGCACAATGAGCAAGCATAGAGCAAGAGTTCACAATAGGTAAGTAAGGCTAGAGCTAATCACAGAGGGCAAGTGAGGAGGAGGAGAGACTGTGGGGGAGAGAAGATGGGAGGCGACTGCTGACGCTGCAGACACACAGACGAGCTGCTGGCTCAGTGGCTACCGGAACAGCGCTCCGGACTACTGGGGTAACTGGCCCCGCGGCTAAAAGTAGCGGCAGACGAGCAACGGACCCACGGGCGACTGGCGACTACCGGAGATTGTAGCCTCCGGACTGCTGCTGCTGCTGACGACAAGACTGCTGCCTCCACTCGACCTCCCCAGCTGCCTAACGCCCTTCTCACACACCCCCTGCTCAAACCCTAGCCCTACACCCACAGCACCCCCTTAAACCCTAAACCCCAGACTCCCACACATCCACCCCCCTCAGCGAGAGCTGCAGCAGTGGGAGACGAAGGAGGAGGAGGAGGAGGGAACGGCACGCACAACCGACACCCCCACAACCATCACCCCCACACCCACCCCCCCACGGCTGCACCGGGTCCAGGAGCGGCTGCTGCAGGGGCCAGGGGCGGCTGCTGCTGGGGCGGCTGCTCCAGGGGCTGCTGCTGCCGGGGCGGCTGCTCCAGGGGCTGCTGCTGCTGAGGCGGCTGCTCCAGGGGCTGCTGCTGCTGGGGCGGCTGCTCCAGGGGCTGCTGCTGCTGGGGCGGCTGCTCCAGGGGCTGCTGCTGCTGGGGCGGCTGCTCCAGGGGCTGCTGCTGCTGGGGCGGCTGCTGCTGGGGCGGCTGCTCCAGGGGCTGCTGCTGCTGGGGCGGCTGCTCCAGGTGCTGCTGCTGCTGCTGCTGGGGCGGCTGCTCTAGGGGCTGCTGCTGCTGGGGCTGATGCTGCTGGGGCGGCTGCTCCAGGTGCTGCTACTGCTGGGGCGGCTGCTCCAGGGGCTGCTGCTGCTGGGGCTGCTGCTGCTGGGGCGCCTGCTGCTGGGGCGGCTGCTCCAGGGGCTGCTGCTGCTGGGGCGGCTGCTCCAGGGGCTGCTGCTGCTGGGGCGGCTGCTCCAGAGGCTGCTGCTGCTGGGGCGGCTGCTCCAGGGGCTGCTACTGCTGGGACGGCTGCTTCAGGGGCTGCTGCTGCTGGGGCGGCCGCTGCAGTGGCGGCGGCTCCAGGGGTTGCTGCTGCTGGGGCGGCTGCTGCAGGGGCTGCTAGTAGGTGGCGGGGCCGCCGGTAGGTGGCGGGGCCGCTGGTAGGTGGCGGGGCCGCAGGTAGGTGGCGGGGCCAGCACAGGTAGGTGGCGGGGCCGCGGGTAGGTGGCGGGGCCGCTGGTAGGTGGCGGGGCCGCAGGTAGGTGGCGGGGCCGCTAGGAGGTGGCGGGGCCGCAGGTAGGTGGCGGGGCCGCAGGTAGGTGGCGGGGCCGCTAGTAGGTGGCGGGGCCGCAGGTAGGTGGCGGGGCCGCTAGTAGGTGGCGGGGCCGCAGGTAGGTGGCGGGGCCGCACAGGTAGGTGGTGGGGCCGCACAGGTAGGTGGCGGGGCTGCGGAGGGCGGCGACGAGCCGTAGGGGGCCGTGAGGGGCCGCGAGAGGGGCCGTAAGGGGCGTAAGGGGCCGCGCGAGGGGCCGTAAGGGACGGCGCGAGGGGCCGTAAGGGGCGGCACGAGGGGCCGTAAGGGTGGCGCGACGGGCGCGACGGGCCGTAAGGGCGGCACGAAGGGCCGTAAGGGGCGGCGCGACGAGCCGTGAGGGGGCCGCTAAGGGCGACGCGACGGGGCCGTGAGGGGCCTAGCGAGGGCGCGACGGTAGGGGGGAGCACCCAGGGCGCGACTCGGGCCTGAGCGAAGCGCGCTCCGGGCAGGAAAAAAAAAATTTCGTGGTGGTGGGCCCTAGGAATCGTTCCCACTAGGGAACCTGCTCTGATACCATTTCAAAATACTAGCGTGAGTTTGGCTTAGGAGCCATAGTTTAGGAGCCTTGGTAGTTGAGTTCGAGTTTAGGAAAAGTATCGAGAGGTTTGGAAGGAGAGGAATGGGGTTTCACTAGCAAGAGTTGGGATACAAGTACAACACCCTAAATTGGGTTGTACTCATTACAGAGTACCCCACTGCAGGCTAGACAGCAAATACATTCTGACACAGCCCTGTTAGGGTTTGCTATATGTATCCCATTGTTTGCTAGTGAAACGCCTCTTCTGTTGTTCTTCATTCATGCCTGCTATCTTGACATGCTATCAGAGCGAGTACGCTCCTGGCCTGTGGGCCAACCTGCTTCCGCTGCTGTCCTGTCTATCGCGCGCCCCGTGGCGCGCGACGTTTTTTCTTCCCGCCACGCGCTCGGGGCACATGGCGGTTTTCTGCCCGCCGTATGCCCCGAGGCGCGCGGCGGTTTACTGCCCCGCGCGTCCCCCCCGTCGACCGTCGCGCCGCCCCTGGGGACCCGCGCGTCCCTCCCCGTCGACCGCTGCGCCGCCTCCGGGGACCCGCGCGTCCCCCCCGTCGACCGTCGCATCGCCCCTGGGGACCCGCGCGCGCCCCCGCGATCCCGTCGCGTCGCCCTGGGGACCCGCGCGCGGCCCCCGCCATCCCGTCACGCCGCCCGGGGGACCCGCGCGAGCCCCCTGCGCCCCCGTCGCGCCGCCCTGGGGACCCGTGCGCGCCCCCTGTGCTCCCATTGCGCCGCCCCGTGCCCCCGTGCGCCGCGAGGCTTCTTCCTCCCCACGGGTGGCGAGTGTTGGGGTGGCGAGTATGGGGGTGACGGGTGTGTGAACCGTCCCCTGCTCCTCCTCCTCCGTCTCCCACTGCTGCAGCTACCGCTGAGGGGGGTGGGTGTGTGGGAGCCGAGGGAGTGGCGCTAGGGGGGTGTCGTGGGAGTGGAGCTAGGGGTGCAGCAAGGGGTGTGTGAAAGGGGTTTGGGACAGTTGGGGAAGGTTGAAGGAGGTAGCTATCGTGACGTCAGCAGCGCCAGTAGTCGATGTCAGAATGTTATTATTGTCTAGCCTGCAGTGGGGTACTCTATAGCGAGTACAACCCAATTAGGGTTTCCTATATGTATGCCAACTGCTGCTAGTGCAAACCCTCCTTTGCTCATTGCTGTTTCTCACTTCTTGTTTCTGACATGCTATCAGAGCAAGTCGACCCCCTTGGGTCGATCCTGTGGGTGGGCCCGCCACCTAACTGCTTCCGCTGCTGTTCTACTTCTCGCGCGCCTCGGGCGCGCGACATCTTCTTCCTGCCGTGCGCTCGGGGCGCGCGGCGGTTTTCTGCTGTGGGGACCCGCGCACAGCCCCCGCCCGTCTCGTCGCGTCGCCCTGCAGGCCGCGCGCGCCCCCCCTCCCGTCCGTCGCGGCGCCCTGGGAGCTGCGTGCGCCCCCCGCCCGTCCGTTGCGGCGCCCTGGGGAGTCGCGCGCGGCCCCCGCCCGTCCGTTGCGGCGGCCTGGGGAGCCGCGCGCCCCCCCCGTCCGTCCGTCGCGGCGCCCTGGGGAACCGCGCCCGCCCCCCCGCCCGTCCGTTTCGGCGCCCTGAGGAGGAGCGCGCGGCCCCCCTTCTGTCCCGTCCCCCCCCCCCCCCCCCGTGCTGCCCGTTCCTCCCGTGCCGCCGTGCGTTCCACGGTGGTGGGGGGTGTGGGGTGGCAAGCATGGGGGTGTGCGGTGTGGGTGCTCCCCTTCCCTCTCCCCTCCTCCTTGTTCGTCTCCCACTGCTGCAGCTGCTGCTGAGGGGGGTGGAGGTGTGGGAGCCGAGGGGAGTGGAGCCAGGGGGTGACGTGGGAGTGGAGTTAGGGTTTCTGCAGGGGGTGTGTGAGAGTGGCGTGGGATGGTCGGGGGAGGTTGCGTGGAGGCTGCCGTCGTGTCGCCTGCAGCGCCAGTAGTCCGGAGCCGTCGTGCTCTCGGTAGCCCAGAGAGCCTGCTGTGCCTGTCGCCCGTGGGTCCGTTGCTCTTGCCGCTCCTCGTAGCCGCCGAGCCTGTTACTCCTGTAGTCCGGTGCCCTCGTGCGCTCGGTAGCCACTGTGTGCGCGCTCCTGTTGCCCGTGTGACTGCAGCTTCAGCCGTCGTCTCCCATCTTCTCTCCCCTCACAATTCCTCCTCCTCCTCACTTGCCCTCTGTGATCGCCTCTAGCTTTGCTTATAATTGTGAACTATTGCTATGCCTGCTCATTGTGCTGATTACACCCCACTTTGGCTATGGGGGTGTGTCAGAATGTTATTATTGTCTAGCCTGCAGTGGGGTACTCTATAGCAAGTACAACCCAATTAGGGTTTCCTATATGTATGCCAACTGCTGCTAGTGCAAACCCTCCTTTGCTCATTGCTGTTTCTCACTTCTTGTTTCTGACAGTCCGCGGGTCACCCATGTTGGTGCAACCCTACGGTTTGCACTCGGCTTGTTGTCCGTGTGCGTGAATGTGTGTGTGTATGGAATGGTATGAGGGCATGGGATAATATATATTTCATGCTTATAATTGTGTGTGAATGTTGAGTCATGATGTCGAGTGTGTGTGTCGAGTCAATAGCGAGTTATCGCTAGACGCGTGTTAGTGATGGTCAGTGATGGTTCTGCCAGTGGCGATGCGTGTAGAGCCGCTGTCGCTTTTGCCAGGTTGGCCTTCCGCACCAGCCCTTCTGCCCACAAATGCCTTTGGGGTCAGGTTCGTGTCTGGAGGGTTTGGAATCTGCTGGGATGGTGCTGGCTTGTAGGTACAGGGCGTCCCACTCCTCGTCTCGGAACTGTCTCAGCCTGGACTCCACCGCTTGCCATTTGTTTCCCGGAACTTTCTCGAGATTCGCCCTCAGTGTCAGTCTGGGCAGAAATTGCAGGATTCGCCATGCCCCGAGGCAGTCTGGTTGCTTCGATAGTTGCAGAAGTGGTATGGTGAGGCAGTGGCTGAACGATTTCAGAATTTCAGGTGGAAGCTTCCTGGCCAGAAAGGGCTGGGAGCTGGCTCGCAGGTGACCGTTCTTTGCTGGCAGCCCCATTTGCCCCCTCGCCTTCTGACTCGTCCACCTGTCCAGTCCCGTCCACCCCCCCTGTATCCCTACCTCGTCCACGTCCATGTCCCCGCCCTGCTCCCCCTGGTAAGGGTACCCCATCTTCTGCCTCCACCGAGACATCTTCCGATTCCGCTTCCTGCTCAGCACTATATCCTGAACCACTCTCCTCGTTGCCATTCATTGGTTGTTCTACTTGCTCATACGGCCTGACGTGCCTTTCCCGCCAAGGTCCAAATCTCGCCTTCTCCCTCGCCACCAATCGCACCAGGTCTCCCATGTGACCTCCCCTTCCCCTGCCCCTCCCTCGGCCCCTGGACGCCGCTCTACCCGCCGTGTTTTGCGTCTGCGGCGTCATCGCCCTGCGCTCTGCCTGCTCTTGCAAGGTCCTCTGCCGATCCGTCCCAGCTCGCCGCCTTTGTTCCGCCGCTGCCGCCGCCCTCACCTCCTCCTCTTCGTGATCGTCGTCTACGTCTCCCCCTCATGGTGCGTCGGTTACTTCAGTTCGTGGCGCTGGGCGCCTTGACGATGACGGGCAAGCGCCATCGTCCCCCCCTGCAGCATCGTGCGACGGGTCGTCCTGACGCTCCCACCCCGCTAGAGGCCCAGGGCGCGCTGGCACCAATCCTGCTCCGAGCCGCCGCTGCCCTGGTCGCACACAAGGGGGGCGCAGCCCCCTCGCGCCCCCGGGATCCGATTTATCGATCTCCTCGTGGGCGGACCCACCCATACATTCGTGTGCGCGGAGGGTCATTCCGTACTCGCCGCCCACCTCGGCACTCTCCTGCTGTCCAACGACAAGTAGTCGGTCCGCTCCTCCAACAGCAACCTGCTCCTTCCACGCCATTCTAGCCGCTGCAGCTTCCTCCCTCGCTATCCCAGTCAGCATCGTCGCTGCCGTTCCAGTCGCCAGAGCCTCCGCCTGCTGCTGTGCCTCTGCCACATCTGTACTCTCACCCTCTACCCGAGGCGCCATCGCCAGTTGCTGTGCCTCTGGCCGCGCCTTCTCTCCCGCCGGCCCCATCGGCGCCTCCTCCCGGGGTTCCGCCTGTTCCTCCTCCCCATCCTCCCCCCCAGTCCCGGACGGGGCTAGCTGTGTCGACTCCTCTCCCCCTCCAGACGACCGGTCCTCCTGTTCCCCCTGATTGCGCGCTGTGTCGGCAGCATCCCTTGGTGCCAGGATCTCGTCTCCCTGCCGCTCGGTTCGGGTTTGTGAGCCATTCCCCTTCCCGTCTCCTACCAGCTTGTCCCGTTGTGCCAATCTTTTGTTCCCGCCTGCCTTCTTTCTCTGACGGATTCCCTCGTTCGTTTTGCCCTGCGTTTCCATTGTTCCCATAGCATCAGCCGATGCCTGGTCTCTCCCGCGGGTACTTGAACGACGATGAGGTGCCAGGCACTCTTCGCGACCCTGATGTAGACTGGTGGGCGGTCTCGTGGCCTTCGTGTCCGCGCGAGGGTGTCTGGGGGCAGTCTCGTCCTGGTGAGGCGGCTTACCGCACGCGTGGTGATCGGTTGTCGCAGGTTGGTCGCTGCCTGTCAGATCTGGCGACTGTGCTTGAGCATCTCCACGTCGCCCTGCAGTAACGGGAAGTTGTGGCACGTGATCCCCAGCTTGATGAGGACCAGCAGGGGCGGGTACGTGAAGCGGTGGCGGGTGCACTGTGGGAGCTTCTCCACCTGCCTCTCGAGCCTGAGGACCCTTTACTTGACGATGGCCCTGGCGCTGCGGCTTTTCGCAGGGTAGCCACGGCTGCTGAGGTGTCGCCGTTGGGGATCGTCCCTGCAGTCGCGTCCTTGCTCCAGTGGTTGGGGCGGCGGGTGAATCAGATGTAGGTGGCTCCTGTGAGAATATTTCGAGGGTGTGAGGATCTAGGATCGAGCTCGAAAAAGAGAATTGTAATTGAATGATCACCTGGGTACAACACGAGGCTATATATAGGCTCGACACAAGGCCTAGTAACCAGGTGTTACGCGAAGGTTCCGGGGTTCGCGAAGCGTCCCGAACAGAGCCTTCCCGAATTCGGTAGAAGGCAATTCGGTGACAACCGAAAAGCCAGAATTCGGTGCACACAACCTAGCTCGGTGCTATAACTATAATAAAATATAGGAAAGCACCTAGCCTAGGAAATCAAGCAATTCATGCATGCATAAAATAAACCTAAGCTAGAAATTGTTGGTGCAACCCTACGGTTTGCACTCGGCTTGTTGTCCGTGTGCGTGAATGTGTGTGTGTATGGAATGGTATGAGGGCATGGGATAATATATATTTCATGCTTATAATTGTGTGTGAATGTTGAGTCATGATGTCGAGTGTGTGTGTCGAGTCAATAGCGAGTTATCGCTAGACGCGTGTTACGCGGTCGTTTGTGTCTCGCGCGCGGTTTCTATTTTGTCGTGCGCGGTTTCTATTTTGTCCTGTGTCGAACGTTCGGCGTGTCGCAGATGTGTGCAGCAGACCCATCAAGAACTCAAGGATGAGTTTGTGATGAAGAGCCCGAGCCTTGGTGTCAAGCCTCAAGTGATTTCGAAGCTTGCCGAAAGGGTACACCTCAAGATATTGAAGATAGTTACATTACTTTGTGTAGTGTAACATTTCACTTGGTGTAGGCCCTAGTGAAGGGTAGTTTCGAGACCCTTCGTGGTTGGGGACAGTGTGGCACTGTTCCACATCACTGTACCTCGGCTCTTGGGGTTTGTAGGAGCTGGGAGTCATTCCCAACTCGTAACTCTTCCTATCTTGTGTTCTAAGACTATAGTGGCTGCCATAGTACCGTTCGTTCAAACCGACGCTGTGTCGTCAATTCTTTATCAAATCGTGCAATCTAAATTGCTAATTCTAGACGACGTGAAGACGCTCCAGATCCAATTTGAATCAAGTCATTTTCAGCTGTGAGCAGAACGCTATCAACGTTTGAAGCCGCTGTGCAGAAATCCGTCTGTGCTCTCTATCTTTCGTTTTAGGCACATTCAAGCCTATTGTGACTATAACAAGTGGTATCAGAGCCCCTTGGAGCAGTTTCGACAATGTCTGGACCTGAGGAAAGGGGTGGCAGAGGTGCTGGTGGCAGTGGAGAAGCTCAAGCTCAAGGCCAACCCCGTGATTCAGCCATGGCGCCCATGCAACCAAGTCTTGGCCCACCTAGGGATGAGCCTAGGGTGTTTGGGCTTGACAAGTTCAACGGTGACAACTTTGCTGAATGATCCTTCAAGATGGAGAACATCTTTGACCACTATGACCTGCTGGAGGTGATGGAAGGAACGGAGAAGCGCCCCGAGAACGACCCGGAGAAGAGCCCGTGGGTGCGGAAGAGCGCACAAGGCTATCTCTTACTTGGGCAAGCGTTGGGGAGCAGTCAGATCCGTCACATCAAGCCATTCCAGCGTGAACCAGAGAAAGGACCAAAGGCATGGGCTGCTCTCAAGGGTGTACATGCTCCTGCAACAGTGGCGGTAGCGGTGGTGTTGGAACGGCAAATGGCGGCACTACGAATTGAAGAAGACGAAGCGGTTGAAGAAGGGGTGCAGAAATTCTTCGACTTGTTGACGCGGCTTGAGGGAGCTGATTTGAACTACAGTGAGCTCCAAAAGAAGACCAAGTTGCTGGCCTTACTCCCAGAGTCATGGTCCTCGCTCATCATCAACCTTAATCGCGACTTGCCCCGCCTCTCGCTTGAAGACGTGAAGCGAGCTATCCTTCAAGAGGATTTCCGCCGCCGTGAGTTGGCGAGTGCGGATGGCGCTGGGGCAGCGAGCATCGGCCGTGGATATGGTCGAGGAAGAGGCAGAGGACGAGGGGGAGGAAGGTTTGGTGGCAGCAACTTCGGCGGAGGCCGCAGGAGTGGCGGTTACGGCAGCGACGACAAGAGCTACGGACGCGGTCGCGGCCGATTCGACGGCGAGTGTCACTATTGCCACAAGAGCGGACACATGTGGCGCGACTGCTACAAACTCCCTGATGGTTGGACCCCTGCTCAAGGCCAAAAGGGTAGAGGAGCAGGAGGAGGGAGAGGACGAGGCCGTGGAGGCCGTGGCGGTCGCGGTGGCGGAGCTGCAAACATGAAGAGCGGAGACAACGACAAGGACCCGAGCGACGATCGATACCCGGGTCTATTCTACTTCGTGTCGACGCAAGTACCGGCTGGTCCAGAGAAGGATGAAGGCTTTGAGGAGCCAGCAGCTGTGGGGAAGGTGACCCTACACCCCCTGGACTATTGGGTGATTGATAGTGGCGCTACCTATAGCATGACACCTCGCCCGGACTTGCTCACCGAACTCGAGCCGTCACCGGTGAAGCATGTCACATCGGCTTTGGGGCAGCGAGCAGAGGTGAAAGGCATGGGCAAGGCCATGTTCAAGGGTGCTGATGGGAAGATGGTGGGCCTCAAGAACGTGCTTTGGGTGCCCAGCCTTGCTGCAAACCTGATTTCCGTGCGGCGGTTGGCAAAGGCCGGCATGGACACGAACTCGAAGGGAGCCAAGACCTACACCGCAAGGCTTGGCGATCGAATTCTTTGGGACCTTCATGAGGACAGGGATGTCTACAACGAGATGTGGCAGATCCCAGTGGTCCCTATGCCTAAGGAGAGGCAAGTGGCAGCAAGCATCAGCACCAAGGATGGAGCGGTCGGTAGCGACGATGGCGCGAACGGTCGCGCTAAGGAGAATGAGCTCAAGAAGAGCAAACCTGGAGGGACCAGCAAGTTCAGTGAACCTAAGGAGAGTGGTGCAGCAACCAAGGAGCAGCAAAAGGGTGAGGAGAACCCAGAGGCAGCAGCGGAGGAGGACTACGGAGAGAGTATGTGGGGCGCTATTGCGAGCACGGCATTCTCCAATCCAACTTCGGCTACGGGGGAGTGTGATTGGCTCACCTTGCATCGGCGCATGGGGCATGTGGCCCTGCCCATCTTGCAGCAGCTAGTGAAGAATGAGATGGTTGCTGGCATACGTGTGAAGGGGGAGCCCGATGAGGTGCTTGGCTGCCCGATGTGCATTCAAGCCAAGTTCACCCGGTTTCCGTTCCCTAGTTCGGAGGCAACGGCAAAGGCACCGCTTGATGAGGTGGTGATGGACGTGGTGGGCCCCCTGAAGCTTGGAGCTGCTGGAGCTGAGTATTTTCTCACCATTGTCGACGTCTACACCCGCATGACTTGGGTGTACGTGCTGGCCAAGAAGAGCGACGTGGCTGAAACGTTGAAGACGGATTGGTTCCCGATGGTGGAGCGGCAACAAGACCGTCTAGTCAAGTCAATCCGCACCGATCGAGGGGGAGAGTTCCTGAGCAAGGAGTTTGGGTTGTGGCTGAAGAAGAATGGTATTCGGCACTCCCTCACCATGCCATACTCCCCTGCAATGAACGGCATCGCCGAGCGAGCGAACCGCACAATCACGGAGGCGGCACGCGGGTTGCTCATTGAAGCCGGGCTACCCGACTATTTCTGGCCTGATGCGGTGCGGAGCGCGTGTGTGGCCAAGAACAGAACCTTGACTCATGTGGGAGCAGACAAATGGGTGCCCTATGTGGAGTGGCTAGGAAGGAAGCCAAAGGTGGATATGCTTCGGGTGTTCGGGTGCATGTGCATGGCGCTCGTGCCTAAGCATCTTCGGCACAACAAGCTTGGTGCCAAGGCGGTGTGGGCCGTGCACTTGGGCATGGCTCAAAACAGCAAGGGATGGCTTCTTTGGGACCCATTCACCAAGAAGTTCTTGGTGAGCAGGGACTGCAAGTTCATGGAGAACTTCATGTACAAGGATTGGAAGGCGGAGAATGAGGCGAAGATAGGCGTGCGGTTTGGGGAGGTGAAGAGTTCCGGTTTGGAGCATGTGGAGCTGCCTTTGGAGCTGAGCAGCGGCAGCACAACCACAAGGCAATCCTCCCTTGTGAATGGGGGAGAGGAGGCCAATGATGCAGAGGAAGAAGAGGAGGAGGTGCAGCAAGTGAGCGAGCGTGCACCGTCACTCCCTTCCCGTACTACGAGTGCTCCACGGATTCGAGCCACACCGCAGCAACGCCAAGGCCTTCAAGTCCCTGCAGCTGAGGAGGAAGGAAGGGGGAAGAGGAGAGTTCAACCCCCTAATAGGCTGACCTATGATGCGCCGGGAAAGCAGGGCAAGACAGCCCTGGCCGGAGCGGCAATGATGGTCGGAGACGACGAGGAGAGTGACTACGAGGAGTGTGCCTTCGCGTTCTTCTCTCCGGTGGAGATGCCGGGAGAACCAGCAACTCTCAAGGAGGCTTTGGAGAGTAGTGATGCTGAGGAGTGGAAGAAGGCCATGGAGAGTGAGCTGAAGAGCATCGAGGAGAATGACACGTTTGAATTGGTGGAGCTA